TTTCTCCCACTAATTCCAACATGCCGCTCGCCTCGCTTGCACCAAGAGGGTATCCGCCCCATCCCCGCCGTCGATCGCGCTTCGCCCAACTAGTAGCCGCCATGGTGGCGCTGCTGCGTGTGGCGTCGATCACCACCGAGGCATCGCACCTTGGCACCTTTGGCAGCTCCGCGTCCACGGCGGCAGCTGCGAAGGTGGACGGGCGGCGGCGCGCGCATGGGCGGCGGCGTCTGGCGGCTCCGGTGAGCGCCAACACGCATGGCGGCGACGGCGGCTTGAGCGGGTGCGGGGGTGGCGGCGGCTCAATCTCGCCACCCCGCCGAAGAAGCAGACAGATGAAATCGAAGCGTTAGCACGTGAACGGACGACCGAAATTTTTGCGAGACCCGGGTTCTTTGGCCGGCGAAGACGTGTGGGGAGGAACGTTGGTGTTCCTCTCGCGCCTGGCGGGACGTAGGCGGCGCGACATGCGGAGGTGGGGATGAGGACCTCCTACCGTCGAGTAGCCCGAGTTCGTGATGATTCGCGAGACGTCGTCGTGTGATGAGTTCGAACTAATCTGTATGTATCGAGACGGTTAATCTTGCACGGAGAGCTGATCGACGTTTAGCGAGACTAGCAAGTGGCGTGGCCCAATAATATGGCGAGCTTGAACTCGGTTTCGAAAGGTAAAGATAATCGATACATGTCAACAAAATCATCAAGAAGCCCGATGATTAAGGCGTGGAAATTCACTCAATTGAGTGGAGATTGACGTGTGTACTCTTATTGAAGCGAGCATTGTATTAAGCCAAGTCGTACTCTGCCGCTTAGTCACCTCCGATCAAAAAGTAAAATCTGAAATCTACCTCTAGTCACCATCTAGCGAGGCTAGCACACCAAATTTGAACAAACCAAGACTACAATATTCAGAGAATAGCACGGCTAAGGTTAAAAAAGCATTCATACGCTCATAACCAAGTCAAATCATCTCACACTCTTCAAGTCAAATCATCTCACACTCTTCAAGTTTGCCTCTTGAGAGGCTTCAGATCCAACATCGATTGCATAACAAGACAATTACTACATCTACAAACAAATTGACCATCTCCTACATTGCACATGAAGCTACAACACGAAACCTACAAAGAAAGACATCAAACCACCATGAATCCATGACCGACTAATCAAAGCAGAATGCAACGAATCAAGAGGCAGTGCGGAGAACTAACTCAGATCTCCGCGGCATCGTGTTTGTTGTCACGGACGGACAATGGGAGCGAAGCGATGTCTTGGCTCACGGACCGGTACCTCCAAGATCTACAAGAAACAATGGAAATCTGGGTCAAACTCTAGCGATCGAGAAACTACGGTTGGGGAAGGAGATGCGGTGGAGAGGAGGACCGACCTGCAGAGACGGATGGCGATAAGCGACGGGCGGTGGAGGAGCGAGGCGGCGGTGTGGGTGAGGACAACCGCCAATGTGATTTCTAGAGATCGACGTGGAGCCGTGAATTTCGGGAGGAACGTCACCGCCGTTATTGGGAGATGCGTCGCCCGGCCGTAGGGAGAGATCGCCGCTAAGTCGCCGCCATCGGTATGCGCCACCACGAGAGATTTGGGGTGGCGGCGGCGGAGGCCTCGCGACTCGCAAATCACATGAGCGAAAGCGAACGAAGTCGACGACAGGTCGAGGGAACCTCGCGGCCTCGCGTTGGTATTTGGATCTCGCGGTGGCTCATAAGTCGCACGGGAAACCCTCCGGCCTAACGAGTAGTGGATTTCTTCCTCATGAAAACTTATTTGGGAAGTGGGCTGCGATCCGCGCCTTGGTGGGCTGCCAAAGGGCGCACAAATTTGGCCCGGGTAAGAATGGCACGGGGCAGATTAGCCCAGGGAAAAGGCCGGGATCCCGCCGGGAATTTGGGCTGCCAAAGTAGGCCTACAGATGCATCGAACCGAGCCAAGTTAAATAATATATCTTGCTTGTAGCCATTTGCCAGCACGATTGTCCTGACCACACAAGGAGAAGGATAGACGGAAGAGAGCTATTTCTTTACTCTACATATGGGTCCCGCCATCGATGTTCACACTAAGGGCAGTCGAACTCTGTTATTGTTCGTTTCTCTTTCACGTCATGGTTCGCATCGCACCAGCACTACACAGGTGCCCTTAAAAGCAAAAGGTGACAATCACATGTTACGTAAGACTAGTTCTCCTCAAATAGTTTTATACACAGAACTAGTTGTTTAATAATTCGGTAAAGTGGTTTTTTGAAATTACAACTAGAAGGGATTAAGAGTTAGGAAAGGTAGTTTCTCCTAAATCACTTCTGACATTTAATTACTTTCCTAAAAAAAATTGTATTGGAGAAACACTTTTAACCATAAAATCACTTATCTTGAATAATCACTTTCCATAAAATTAGGAATCCACTTAATTACTTTCTTAAAAAATTTATCTTGGAGAAACATTTTTAACCATAAAATCACTTATCTTGGATAATCCTTTTCCATAGAATTAGGAATCAAAAGAGCTCTATCAAACAAACCCTAAGCAACGAATTAACACAATTGCTCACATCTTTCTGGATTATTATTTTAGTAATAAGAAGCGACATATCCCATCGATAACGAGGATTAGTTTTTAGTGATAGATAACATGTCCATCAACAACAAATCACCAGCTCAGTCTTTTGAACTGTGATTTGAAAAAAGAAAACAGTCTCTAGAAACCAATCGAGTACCTTTTTTGCAACTGGTATGAATGACGGTTTCTCCGGTTCTCTGTTTTTCCTTTTCTTGAAAAGACTCAAAGAAACACTTTCCCAAAGCAACAGAAACAAACTATTCTTTTTTTTATCGTTGTTATCAGCCCTCATCGATTATCCTTTTTAGGCTGGTGAACGACAGTCGGCTGGGGTCCCTTTACGCTAGACAAGTAAGTAAAAGTTAAATAGTTAATGTAATGACCCGCGAGTATCTTTGCAGTGAAGTTCATCAATCATATAATAATATATATTAGCATGATTCACTCATGGAGTGTTTGATGCCCATGCATATAAGTATGCATGGGACTGTTTGTAGATACCTAACACCGTGACCGTGACTGGGACAGGTATCTGGTTTCGGAGAAACGAAAATGAAAAAATCGTTCCCTGTGACTGGCTCGCATGAGATGTGACCGTACACTTGACACCGTCGCCTCTCGCCTCAACCTATTTTTTTATAATTTGATTTTTTTTTAAGAAAATTTACGTTTAGCCCCCGAGAGACTTAAACTTATCTTTGGACCCTGAGGATTGGTGCCAGGACTCATGGCGCTAAGGTAACACGTCTCGGCGCCACAGATCTTGGCTTCGAAGTGCCTGGCCGTGCATAGCAGGACATCCTAGGTAGCGTTGACGTACCCGATACCTCAACGCCAGAATACATGGGCTGAGCTCGACGCCACAGATCTGGACGCCGAGCATGGATTCAGAGCATGGTGGAGCGGGCGGTGGAGGTCACTGAGGTTGACTACTAACTAGTCACTACTCACATGTTGCAGCAATAACGACCCCTATAAGTACCACTACCACAGTACCAGTTCTGCCGACCAGAAGCACGGATTGGCCGCTTTACCTTGTGCGAAGCAGCACAGAGCAAACATCAGAGAAGCAACAAGAACAAATTACTGTTCTACTTAACTACACTAATTAACTAGCAGCTTTAAAAAAAACAATTAACTAGCAGCTGATACTGTGCTACTTGAAACTTGAATTGTGAAATTTTGACTAAGCTTTCAGGTGGCCACTGCATTTTCTCGACTAATTAATGATCTATCTCACCAGTTTTTAATTCTACTGTGATTAGATTGAGATGCCCTAGTTAGTTCTCTTGGAGCATGGCGTCACGACTGATGAGATAACATTAAAAACTGACCACAACGTATACCCAATAATTTTATCTGCATGGAATGAAATGCTAGAAACAGTATGTGTCATTTTCGATTAGTATATGCGTATTGTACCATGGCAGCTGGCAGGGCTGTAAGTTGCATTGCTTATGTGTTAAGGAATGTTAAAGAGCATCGGTGGTTTTTTTTAGGGTAATAATAAAGAGCATCAGTGATAGTGTGCCAGCTAGTACTAGATCACGCATGTGGTACCTGGTGTTACTTTCGTGCCGTGCGTGAGCAAAGATTGTAGCGCAGAGTGCTTGTTATTTAATCATATTATTGCGGCACAGTGTGTTTGCCTCTAATCGTAGTTTTTGTTGATGCCAGTGCTGGCTAGCTTGCAAATACTCGTACGCATAACCGGGGAAAAAAAGATTGAGCTAAGCAAACATTTCCAAAGTTCAATAAATACATGCCACCGAACGCTCTGGTCGGTGCGTCTGTAAATACATGCCACCAAACACTCTGGTCGGTGAGCAACATGAATGCAACGTGTGAGCAGTGATTAGTGAGCAGTCAACCTCAGCGACCTCCACTGCCCACTCCACCGTCCTTTGGCGTCGAGCTCGGCGTCAAGATCTGTGGCACCGAGTTTAGCGCCATGTATTCTGGCGCCAAGATATCGGCCACATCAACACCATCTAGGATGTCCTGCTATGCACGGCCAGACACCTCGGAGTCAAGATCTGTAGCGCCGAGACGTGTTACCTCGACGCCATGAGTTCTGGCGCCGATCTTCAGGATCAAAGATAAGTTTAAGTCTGCTGAAGGCAAAACGTAAATTTTCTGGAAGAAAAAAGGGCGTAAAAAATTAGGTCAACCTAAACCATGCCTCTAGCGCCCGTTACACCAAAGCCCTCTCTCTGTCCTGCGCGGCTGCGCGCCTTATCCCCGCCACGCTCCTCCTCCGCCCCACACGCGCACGCGGCGACACCAGTCCACCACCCTCCTCTCGCTCCGGGACCCAAACCGGCCGCCTCCTCGCCACCCTCCGTTTCCATCCGCTCCGGCGTGCCATCCACGCCGGCTACCGGCTGCGTTCCCCGTCCGAATCGCCAGACTCCGTCATCGCCACTAGTCCGATGGCGCCGCAGCTGAAGGGCTGCAATTGGGTCTCCTCCTGGCCGCGGCTCCAGCAGATGCCCCCTTGGCCGCCGCGGCGGAGGGTCCTGCACCTCGCGACGCCGCGACGCCCCTGCGCAGGCGCGGTTCGCGCGGTCGCGAGCGCGGGCCCGGCGCTGGGGCTGGACCTCGGCGCGGGCGCGGTGGGGACCGAGCTCCTGGCGATGGAGGAGGAGGCTGAGGACGTGGACGAGAGGGAGAGGCTCAGGCGGACGCGGATCTCGCTGGCGAACAAGGGTAACACGCCATGGAACAAAGGCAGGAAGCATAGCCCAGGTATATACCTGTTCTCTCTCTAGTTTCCTTGTGCTTAAGATGTTTTGGAAATGCGGCGGCCATTTGTTAGTGTCGTGGATCCTGATGGGCATAATGGCTGGATTTCTCGAGGTCCCGTTGATTAATAGGAAGAAATGTAGTACATGGTTCAGAATTGAGGCCGTAGTAGCATGGGTTAGAGTAAGAACAGAAAAACCATAGAGGCTGCTAACTGAGAAATAATTACTTATAACGCTATGTGGGAACGGTAGTGCCTTATTTGATTGAATTCCATGTGCAGAGACGCTGCAGCGAATTCGTGAGAGGACCAGGATCGCAATGCAGGACCCCAAGGTGAAGTCATGTAAGAATTATTGTTATTATTTATGTAATCTGCTGTATTTACTATATTGTCACATGCTGATTGCTTATTGTTAGCTGTGTGTTTGAGCTCACTATCTCATAAGCTTAGCATTGTACGCTAATTCAGACAAATCTTCCCTCCTTAAAAAGATGTTACGAAGCCTCATGCCAGTCCTTTTACTAGGAAATGGTGCCTCTTCCTGGCACTGCATAATGTTAGTCTAGGCCTTGTAGCCGCGACTGCTTGGTTGACTGAAGAAATACATTGAAACTTCCAAAAAAAAATAAGAGTAATGTTTCTACGTGCACATATGATTAACATATGCTTGACTTGTTGAATCTTTGTGCACCAAAATTAAACTTTTGAATGGGAGGAGATTACGGGCACAGCTGTGGAGCTGGGGACTGCCCAGCAATTGTTCTGTCAGTGATCTGATGGTGAATTATGGGGGCCAAGTCGTTTTACAGTACATACTGGAACTGGACAAGTAAACTGGAGCCTGGAACTAAAGGGGTCATGTCCAGTCCATTAGGGGCTTAGGGCCTACCTCCTATGCATGGCGCATTGTTCATTCGCCACCTTGTCTCTTTAGCATGGATCCCAAACATAGAAAGTTATCATTCTTGGCCACTACCTGTCCTTCCAAACTAATGTCTCCCCCCTTAGTTCTTATTTCTAGTAGTTGTTGAAGTCACACCTCATGTAGCATTTCATCCAGATGATGCTTAATGGCTAACAATGACATGGGCTAAGGACTTGAAAAACATGATGTTGCAAGGGGATCTCACAGATACTTAGAGCAGCGAAAATGGAATGTCAAGTTGCTGCACATTTTCAAGACAACAACACATTTCAACAAGTGACAGCAGAGAAATGGTGCGGACCGGTGCAGGCTTGTCAGGGCAAGGGTTTTACTGATTGGGTGTTTACTGACAAGTCATAGCTGGGCAAGCGTTTTCTGGGTCTGACGATCCATCGATGAAGTATGATGGCAGCAGGTTCTCAAGCTTGAGAATCCTGTAATCTGGCTAGCTAAAGCCACAGCACTAAAATTCGGAGATAGCAGATAAGTCTAACTGGTATTGCTGGGTCCCAGTGATATGGGCTTGGCTTAGTTTGGCGCAGCATGATGGGGGGGGGGGGGGGTATGAGAGAAAGTTGGCTGTGAAGGGTTTATCCGTTTATGTAACAAAATGTCAGTTAGGCAGCCATGGCCCCTCCTTGTTGATTGAAAACTCCCTTGAATATCTATTAAGCTGGTGGTTAAAATTAATAATATGCATATTAAGTAAGAAATTAGTGCTGATGGCCCCCTCTTGTTTTCCCATCAAGCTCCGCCACTGAGCAGGAGAGCCTTTTCCAGACTTATAATGTACTTAAATTTTGTTAATCTGTTCTGTCTTGTTCAACTTAACAAAATTTCTTAAAAGTTTTATTAAATATCTTGGAAAATGCACCCGTTTAAGTTTTTTTTTCATGAATGATAGCACTTTTATTCTTCTATAACCCCAATTTTGGGAAGCCTTAGGACAGCTTTTTAATATTTTCCAGAAATTGCAGTTAGTGAACACTGGAGAATTCTAACTTTTTTTCTTAGTGTCTTTGTTGATCTGTGCACTATGACCTGGAACCACGGATGATGTTTATGTTTCAACTTTCAAGCGCAGTACATCATATTCATTCAGCAAATGTTGCTATATGTGAACATAGGCTATTTCTGTATAACTGATTGTACATTTGAAAAATGTTTACCTTCTATTTCTTAGGGTGGCTTTGGCTGGGTGCAGGGTTCTGGATTGAGAAATGTTTCTGATTCAGTTTCCCATAGGAAATGTTTCTTTGGTGAATCTGAATCACATGTAAAATCGTTTGGCTCACTGACCGGATTCTTTTTGTTAAAAGAGAGATTGATGGTTGAATTGAACAATGTACCCCTGTCTGTATATGCTGATTTAGTAAAATAAATGTAATTTTTTATGCAATAAATAATAACATCATAAACTCTACGTAACAATAGACTAGAAATATATATACCAAAAATAATCAGCGACGTCAAGAGGTAGGGAGGAATGATGTAGCTGAATTGGGCTATTCTGTAGCTGAAGGGAAGTTGTTTGACCAATGGCACAGCAATGTATCTAGCTGGGAAGTACATGGGGGAGAGGAGAAGGAACCTTTTCTTGCGTGAAAAACAGGTTTCTGCCCGTTTCTTGCTCCTAGTTATAAAACATGAAACATTTCAAGAAATTATGTTTCGAATCGCTCACTGGTTATCTTGTTTAGGAAGTGGTTTATAGAGAAAACAGATTGGAGAATCCCTGCTAAATGCCCACTAAGCTTGACAGTTCCATTAGGTTTTTCCACTTTTTGAAGTGGTTTTGGTGTGAACTGAGCAATAGATCAGTTGTGTTAAAACCTTCCTAAAGGATTTGGTACTCCTCTCTCTCAGTACAGCCATGGGGATGTCTTTTCCCCCATGGTTGAGTTATTTATAAGGTTTCAGGTGCCGTGTTGCCCTGCTCGTCAAAATGTGTTTAATCTACAACTCAAACTGACCACATGATTCATAATATCATTTATGTATTATGCACCACATCATTCATAATTTCATCTATGTATTGTTATGCATAAGGCATCAGTCAAATCTGGCAGGTTTGTGTAACAATATACACGAATATGTATGTTATTTTGTACCAGAGTGCAGTGTGCATTCTGGTTCTTAATTAATATTAGTGAATTGCTATTCATTTCCAAGTGGAGTCTGAACCATCATTGTGAACTTAAGTGATACCAGTAAATGTTAGTACTCTTTAACAAGAGTGCTTTTTTCAACACACAACTAGCACAAATTAACCGGGTTGCTCTTTACAGATGAAATAGGGTGCTCTTCGTAGAACAAAGAAGCAAAAAGATTGACTCATTTCCTCGTCATATTTAATTGGCTGTCTGATTCTCAGAGTTAATTTGTAAAGTCGTCCAGATAATTAATGTTTGAATTCTGCAAGAAGATATAACTACATATTATTTCTATTGTTTTTTTTTTGGGGTGACACGTGTACTGACATATACTTCATTCGTGGATTTGTTTATCATATTGTGCAGGTTAGGAAAAAGTTGATGAATCTGGGGCATGCACAGAGGTACTTAATGATTTACTAATCTGTTAGTATTTAGTAAAACAAAATAAATGGACTACCATCTATGTGTTTAAATAGAATGTTTTAAAATACTTGGTTTGACAATTTCCTGAAACTGCATCAAACATACTGGTGGGTGCATCCCTAGTAACTGGTGCTTGTACTTGTTACAGCGAGGAGACAAAAGTAAAGATATCAGAGGGGGTGAGGCGAGGTTGGAGTTTGCGTCTACAGAGATTAATGGTCCAGGATGGTTGCTTTGTGGAGTGGAGAGACATGGTAGCTGATGCAGCTAGAAAGGGCTTTGCTGGTGGAGTTTCCATCGAATGGAATTCATATAAAATCTTGAGTGAGCAAATGCGGCATGAGTGGTTGGAGAATCTCCAGAAAAGGCGATCAATGCCAAGGCCAAGAGGTAATAGACGAGCACCAAAAACACCTGAGCAGAGGAGAAAAATTGCAGAAGCTATTGCTGCGAAGTGGTTGGATCAAGTAAGGGCTACATATATGTATATTTTGTGCCATTTGGGCCTCTTTATTTCTCATTCCTCGTGCATTGGCCGTAGAAGTTTGATGGCTATTTTCATATAGCATAAGCATTTGAGTTTGTTGCTTGACTTTTGAGTGCTCTCTTCCTCTAGGAATATCGTGAACGAGTTTGTAGTGGAATTGCTAGCTACCATGGATCATCTTCTGTGACTAAAACACCAAGAAAGCCAAGACCTGCTGGAGAACCAGGTGTAAAGAAACAGACTACAAAAAAGAAACCTACGCAAGCCAAACCTGTAAGCTTAGAGGACGCTCATGGAAAAAGTGCAGCTGTTAAGAGAAAGAAAAGTGCAACTCCCTACAAAGATCCGATGGCAGTTGAAAAATTGGAGATGATATCAAAGATTCGAGCTCAAAGGACAGCACAGGAAATAGAAAAGAAAGAAGCTATTAGAAGGGCCAGGTATGCCTTTTTATTTTGAAGTGAAAAATGGGGTTTTATTATGTGAGACACATATGCTCTTATTAGTTTTGGCAGGGAAAAAAAAGAATGTATAGCTTTAATCCATCGTTGTTTACCCATACATGTTTCTGTATTTGTTCTAAAAATCTATGAATGTTCGTTAGTACTCTTTTTCATGGGAAATATTCCTATTTGGCACTTCATTCATGTGTGTTTCAATTTCTCTTTTTTGTGGTAAATAACTGCTGCTTAATTTTTTTTTTATCTCTAGGACACTGATAGCAGAAGCAGAAAAGGCTGCTGATGCTCTGGAAACTGCTGCAGCGATGAACCCTTTTGCTCAAGCATCACTTATAGAAGCTAGAAAGCTTGTTACAGAGGCAAGAGTGTCACTTGAATGTGTTGATGATGAAGGGCCTCAAGAAACTGCTTCCAATGATGCGTCAGGGAGCTCAGCTTTATTGAACTTGCACGATCATGGATTGGAGACACAGAATGAAAGTAATTTGTTGAAGCAAGAGAATAAACCTATAAATGGGATGGAATTTCCTCCAAGCAATGTTAATGGCCTCGGTTTCCATTTTGATGTATCCGAACTCAGCGGAACAAAACAACTATATCAGAGGATAGAGAATTCCATGGAAAGGGCTTTTCTTCTCCCTTCGGCTTCGTCAAAGCTTAAAAGTGCGAATGGAGATTTTGGAATAATAGATTTAGAAGTGAGGCAATCAATGGCCAATGACACGGCAAAGCATAATGGCATCGCTGCTGAATCAACAGAAGCTTGTCCTCCAGGGACACTAGAGCTAGAAGGAGATCCTCCCAGGTCTGAAGAAAAGGTTGGAACAAGGGAAGATTGCCCTCGGGGGACACTCAAAGAAGACACACCCTCATCTGAAGAAAAGGCTAAGATGAGGTGGGTACGTGGGAGGTTGGTCAAAGTAAAAGACGATTTTGGGGATTCAGAAATCTAGTACTAGGCGGCAAATCTGGCCAGAGTTACCGTTACTAGGCAATCGAGTTTGCTCACTTCCGTTTAGCCACCATTTTGTATGCCATTTGGTACGGCACAATTTGGTGTTTACAACCTGCTTGCTGGGACCTGGAAGTGGCGTGGTCTTGGGGAACTTTATTGGTTTGCAGCCTGCAGGAGCGAGCACATCATGATCAACCTGCTGTCTTCTGTGCTGAGATTTGTTATTAGTAGTTATTAGGATCCAGAGATCTTTCCTCGTGAGTTGTAGTCAATTGTAGGAAGGATTGCTGTAAAAGCAGGATGCTGTAAAAGCATGGTTCTAGAATGCTTGCGTCTTGAATCTTAACTAGCTGGGACCCCGTCCGTCGCAGCGGGCTAGAAATGTAAGTCTGAAATTGAGCATGTAAAAGAGAAGCATTTTCTAATGACGCTTCATGCAACCACCTTCACAAAGTCAACACTTGAGGACCGAGGTGCCCGAAATTGACAATCTCTTGTATGAATTGACAGTTTTTCCTCTGCTGCTGCTGCTGCCGCCGCCAAAGAGCAAGACGGGACAGTGTTTGCTTTGATCTTTTACCCGCTGCTGAGTAACGAAATCACGTTTAGCCCGTAGGCTAGCGGCCTAGCATCTTAGCGGGCGCAGCGTCCACGTTGCCCAACGCATCAAAATATCCTCCATGTCACCTCTACATACGTGGAGAGGAGGATTTCAGTACATCGTTTTTTTCGTATTGAAGGAGCCTGGAGTGATGTGATTACTTTTTTTTATTTATATATATGTAAAAAAGAAAAGGGTGACATCTTCCATCGCACTGCTAACAATTTTTATAAGGACTTTCATTCATTAATCAAGAGCACTTTACATGGATTGGATCCAGAGAGACGCAGAATACATACAGTAGATTCATTAATCAAGAGCACTTTACATGGATTGGATCCAGACAGACCCAGAATACATACAGTAGGGCTGGGGCTCCAGTAGTATGCAGGTGGTAGTATGATAAATGTTCCGAAGAACATGAATGTTTCTGGAACGAACGTAGCCATGTTGCACGTTTTTGGTTGCTACGCGGTGGACATAGGAGTGATGATAATATTTTGCTTCAAGAATGGAAGTAGAGGATCTTTGTTGGAGGCCACCATCCATGCTGAATGGACAACAAGGCTAGTGTTGACTTTGTGAAGGTATTGCAACAGAAAACCAGCTTCAGACGTTTTAGTGTGTAAAATGATTTCGTTTTAGAATCTGTACACTGCAATGCATCGTTCCTGTACAACGTAACTATTTACACCGCTACCGGACTAGCAAAGGGCCACCTCGACTGTCCCACTGTTAGCAAATCATCGTGGAGAATGAGATGCGTCAGACCAGTCCTGAAGGGAATACAATGCACAACCAAAAGGGCGCCCCGATATCGTAACACATTCACAAGCTGAAAATCCTACGGTTAGTCAGACCAAATGTCCTTCAATATTTTTATGGCCTGAATATTTTCATCATTCTGGCCACCTGCGTCCGGCAAAATGGGCATCGTGAAACCGAACTTGAGCATCGGTTACATAGGACATGACCGCATGGTATTATGGTCATGTTGACCTCAGCATTCAGGCAGATACGGCATGACCATGCTGCTTTGGCGACATCAGCTTCTCTTACAGCTGCTTCGGCCTTCTCCTGCAACAGTTGTTTAAACAACTTTCAGTGTCAACGATATAGGCAGTACGGAAACAAACAAATACTAATACCTATAAATGCAACGCAATGCAAACTATGAACTTTACAGCTTCCCTTCACTATCAAGCAGCACATAGACTCATAGCAGATTATATACGAATGCACGACAGTTGACAATGCAAACTATGAAGGTAGTTTCCTTGACTTCCGGCAGTCATAGCCTCGTTAGCAGCCTACAAATGCAGCACAATGCTAATTATGACGTTTGGGAGTTTTCTTGACTACCAGGAAGCTAATGAGGAAGGCCAATGCATCCACAGGCATTATGCATGTGGGGTCTGACTTGTGGTTCCTTCAATTATGGAATTCTATAAGGGTGACATGGTCTTTACATGGCACGTCTATCTATGGTCTAGTGCGAGATCCTATAATAACATCCATCTGGTGACAGAGGGGCTGAGGGAGCATACATTTAATTAATATATTCAATTTCTTTTCATATTTGAACTTCTATATATCTAAGTCCAAGAATATTGGTTTTCTATTCATAATTAGAATTCACACTCAGTTTAACAAATGGATCTAAATGTGGTACCAGTATTAAAACCTAACTCCAAGTTTATAACAAATGAAACTCATCATTGATCATCATTAGGTACCAGTTAATATTCCAAGACACTGTCTTGTAGTAGTACAGAATTGACAGGGTATTCAGATGCTAGTGAAAGAAAATGAATTCAAGATATAGCACGAAAAGATATCAAAGCAAACAAACCTGCTCCACCAAGAGAGCAACTTGAGATTCTTTAAGCTGATCTTGCAAGGAAAGAGTAGCCTCAAACAGTGTTTCCTTCTCAGCATCCATCCTTACTCCTGCAGCCGAAAGCATATCATGGACTGCTTGTACCAGCTCAGTGGAAGATACTTTTCCATATTGAAGCCCAGCATCCTGTAAACAGTAAAAACACAAGAATTAGGGTAACAAATTCAGAATTCAGCTTGCAAAAATAGAAGTTGCACTTGGAAACCAACCACATCCTTGGTGACTTCAGTGCCAGTGTTGGTGGCTAAGAGGTTCTCTTGCCCACCTAATGCCACACCACCATTCACTTGGGAAGGTGCAGATAGGAGATCAGCCATTGAAACACTTTTAAATGAGTAAACATGACTGGAAAGCAGCATGCGAGTCTCGCCAGGAGCTGTCTCTACTGGAAATCTGTAAAGTGCTTGGCCAGCTGAGGGCCTTACATCTTCAGGGACCCTACCATACCTGAGCTTTTCCCCCTCTTTTCCTGTCTTCCATGCCACAATTTCACCACTATAGAATGGTCTTAATGGAAGGAATTGCACCTGCCGAGCATCTTGAGATAACAACTCTGCTCCAAGGGAAGCGTCATACCTCCCTTCACGTTTTGAAACTCCAACGTCTGAACCCAGGTGAAGAATTTGAAGGACTTCTTTCTCTGAACCATCTGGGCATGCAAACAGTGAGGCAATCGGCAAGATCATTGGTGCCCCTAACCTGTGACTAACAACAATTGTGATAATGTCATATATTGTCAAAAAACTTGGGGGCTCTGCGACTAGAATATAACCCGTAGCTTTGTTGACGAAACAAATGCTTCTGTGCATTCCATTGCTTGACCATTCATGAATAGAAGGATGCTGGATGGTTCTTGTAACATCTTGGAGATTGGGAAGTAAGAGAAAGCGAGTATGGAGGCATTGAACCAGTTGCAGTTTCTGTGATATATCCTCTAGTATCTGTTCTATCTGGACCAAAGCAAGGGCTTCAAATGAAGGGAAATGATTGGTTACGCTGATCATCACAATCCTTAATGCATTTTGCAAAGATTTACTTCGCAGCTTCTCTTTTATTCTGTCTAGTGTAACTGAGTGAATGCTATTGACAACTTTAATTTCTTCTTTTCCATCAAGTTCCTGACAACATATGCCAATTGACATTGTTAGAATAAAATTTGTTCAATTTACATCAACCATACTTCAAAAGAAAAGACACTGAAAAAGTTTGATATCATTATTTTAATACCTCCACAATGACATCAGAGAGCTTTTTGATGCCCAAGGCCCTGCAGATATTCTGAGGAAGGTCTGGATGGGTGAATCTTAGCCTTGATGTATTTATGTTACTCAGTAAACGAGAACCATATGGGTCAACATACACACATGATGCAGCAGTGACCAGCCTGCAGCCATCATCTGGTATTACTGAATCGAAAAGACCATCTGATCCATCTGTGATACTTTGGTTGATTCCATGGCACATGAAGTCCAAGATTTCCATAACTGCACGGAGTTCATTTGGGTTCAAGCGCTGGTAGCCACATGCCTTTTGGATATCCAAAAGAAGTTCTCTTGCATAGGAGTTTGTAAGGCTTTCCTGCATCCCAATCTCTCTAAGAAGGGAAACAAATGGAAGATACCGACTTGGAAGCTCAAAAGCAAAAGGTGACATGTTAATTGTCAGACGAGCAAAAAGTGACTTCACTGGGACCAATCGAGTACCATTTGCAACTGGTATAAATGCCAGTTTCTCCAGTTCTGTTTTTTCTGAAAAAAGAAGCAAAGAAAACCCTAGTTAAGAGGAATGACCGATCATTTCCAAAAGCAACAGAAACTAATTCATCTTTCTTTTTTTATTGTTATCTTTACAGAAACTAATTCATTTTTTTTTTTTTATTGTTATCTTTGTGTAGACAATATAACTCCATTATTGGATCCCATACCCAAAAGAAAAGAGTGATACATTAATTCTTAATATATTAGTACTCTGAAAGATTGAATAGAATTAAGATTTCAGAACAACGAAGTGTAAGTATAGCAACAAGTGCACCCCAGTAAAAGAAACAAGTAAATAATTAGTAACTTTTACTTCCAGTAAATAATGGCAAATTGGCAACAAATGTATAAGAAATCAGCTATGCATTTCTGCTACCTGAAGAAGATATTGTTCCCCATATTTTATCAAAGTATTGCAAGACCTGTAGAAAGGCATCTTCCACCGTCATTATCCCTGCTGAGGTTGGCCAGTGTGCTAATGTGTCCTCACCATTGCCTTTACCAACAATCTGTTTCATTACAGAAAGTTAAGGGATATAATTTTAACATTACTAAGTTTTTATGACATTCAACTGTAAGTGCCTAAAAACTGTACTGAAGGCAGGTGGACTCCTAAGCCGAAATGCTCCCCAAGAATACTCGGGAGGAACAATTGTTTGTTTGGTAAGAATTGGAGCAGAACTCCATGCTAATGGCCAGTCTTTTAATAAGATAGCTTCGTTGTATGAGGCAAGTACCCTTCGACCACCTCTCTTACCACCAATACTTGGAAAACCTTTTTCAGCAGGCACAAATGCAATTTTTCCAATCTTTTCACAAAAAGCACTGTCATACAAAGTAGCAAAATTTGCAAAAAGCACATTTACTACGGATTCTGCCAGAGACCATATCTCAAAAGGGATTTCATTTTTGCTGTCTGTGAAATCTGCCTCGAAGTCATCAGCATCTTCTAAAGACAACATAATATCATGTCCCATGGTTTCTATTTTTCTTGCACACTGTACTATCATATCAGCCTCTGTGGATGTCCTAAGGCCTGCTTTTCTGAGTATAACAAGCCAACCATCTGACATGAACCTTTCAGCAGGGAACTTATATCTCTCCCAGAAAACACAGAAGTCAACAGAGCATCTGAAGGGTCAAGTAATTCCTCAGGTTTGAAAAACTCTTTACAAAATTCATTTGCATTTGCCACAAAGTTTGTCTCCTTCAAGGTTTCTACTACAGCAGAGTTCAGTTGAAGATCTTTCCAGTTAGCATACAAGTAGGTCAAAATGTCTTCCTGCTCTTGAGCTGTTTTATTTCCAAATCCAGGCAACGCAAACTTCACTAGTATTTCATGATCATTTAGTTGTTCAACCCCCAAAGCCTGAAGGAACAAATGTGCATTTGATGAGCAAGAAAGGCACCGGGCATCACTAGGGTGAAAGAATGCTGTAGGAGAAAGAATGCAATGATCGGACCCTAACAGACTGGTGTATGTTCCTGTAACTGTCTTATAGATTGGAAGTGTTCTCAAGACATCCAATTCTTCTCTCTGATGCAAGTGGTTGTTAGCTAATCTGAACTCCGAAACAAATAACCCAAATAGTCTATCGCAGTCTTCACTTGATAGGCTAAGTGGCGAAGGTAAATGTGCAGCATTTTTTGCTGCAACCAACTTAGAAACAATTGCCTGTCCAAGAGTACGACCATTTGGAGGAAATAAATTGCATATTGCACCACACTCTGGGAAGGAGGGATCAACAATTGGTACATTCAACTGGTTAAGCAGAGAAGTTAACCATGGAAATTCTGAGTTCATTGACCTAAATGCAGTATCAAGCACTTCATTCTGTTCTGCTTCTCTAGTATTGTCTCTGGGGGAGTCCGGTGTATCAAGCTGTCCAGCTACATCATCTCCAGGAGGGTCTGGTGAATCACTAATTGGTGGCACAAATATTAGATGCATGTTCCTTCACACGACAGAGAACCGGCTTGTCCAGATAAGCAGGAATTAAGGGCCAATCAGACAAAAGAGAAAGGTCACCGTTCAAGGAACTGAAATTTTCCCAGAAGCTTCTAATCCATTTGGGAGTTGGAGTAGTTGATGATTCAGCATTATTGTCCCAAGGAATCCATGAGGATTTGTTCTCTAGTGCAATTCGTATCCAACGCTCATCAAGTATGTGTTTCAAATAACCTGCTAATAAGTTGGGAGAAAAACTCCTCAGTTTCAGAGGCCTATGGATAACCTGAGTGGAAAGCAGCAGAGCCAAGAAGGGTTTTTCCAGACATTTATAGTGGATAAAGCGACCCAGCAAAGGGCTCATCAATAGCTGCTGCTGCTCATTGGCTATCCAGAGTTCAGCCATTCCCAACTTTGTTAGACGCATTGTTGATGTTGGAAATGGAACACCTTTAAGCTCAGAAATGATGGATGACAATAAGTTAGTTTCAGCAGCTTGAGTCCTGTGGAATGCTGGACCATTGGTTTTGCTGATATCCTCAACAACCCCCCTACCAAAGTCATATAGGGCTTTTCCAAAGTATGTCATAATTTCAAGTGCATCACCTCCAGAAGTACCTGCCATCTGAGTACTTGATTGGTAAGACAGTGTGCTGCTCGAAGAAGGCATAGAATGCGATCTAGAAGAATTCGTTGTTCCAACATGTTGGCTGTTAACTCGTGATTCATCAGGTAGATCATCCGAGAAGCGGTAAGGGTCCATATCTGAGAAGCAATATTCAAGAACATCTATATATGTTTCAATGAATCTAAGTAAAATGGACGGAGAAGCTTTTAGTAGTTCCCGAACCATTTTAGGTCTGATCTCTCTTATGGTAACTCCAACTGCCTGAATCTCACTAACCAACTCCCACGGCACAGAAAAAACAGGATATCGCTCTTTAATAAAACTACAAACACTATCAGATGGGAGGTTATCATCATCTCCATTTCCTGAGTCAGCTAAGAACATACCCTCATCTACTTTAACAAGATTTCCATGGTAAAGTTGCCAAACAGGAAGATCAGCTAACCGTACATAGAAAGGCCTTATCACTTGCTCTATTAAGGATTGCCAATCCGCTTTAGATGCCCTTGGTGAATCCATATTTGTTCCAGTAGAACCATGCCCAGTGAATGAAGTTGGATTCTGCTTCTTGATCTTGGCCAAAAGAGTATACCCTATCACCATATGTCTGTAATATAGCACCCACAGATTGTGCAGACCTTGGTTCAATAGCAGAAGATAGAGGGTCTGTTTTAAGCTTTTGAAATTCTAGAACCATCTCAACATATGAATCACGCACACATAACATAAGTTCCTTATTCCACGCTTCAACCAACCTGTCCCTGTCCTCTTTAAGTTCTGGCAGAGATGCATCACGTGTACTGCCAAAAATATAGCGCCCACCACTGTGCCTCACAATGAAATGCCCCAAAGTTGTGACTGGCATGCTTATAGACCCAGATAGTGGTAAGGGAGATAATATACAACTGGATGGATGTATATTGGTTGATACTCCATTCCGAGCTATGTGCGCTGCTACTCCAGCAACGGGGGTTAGGTTATAGGCAAGATACCGCCTGAAACAGAAATAAATCAGCATGCATTATACCATCCTTCAATGAGCACATAAATTTAATATCATCTGTCCAAGTTCTCTGGACAATGTTAAAAATAGATAAAGCAGGTAGAAAAAAAATCTGAGCCTTAGGCTCTGAAAGAGACAAACCTGTCAAGAGCCATGTTTCGTGTTTGACCTGATCCAAGGGAAAGGGCAACAAACCATTTGTCAATATAACTGCAGCCACTCTCAATTACGTGCACATCTATAGCTTGCATTTTGATAGCTGCACTTGTACTTGAAAATATTCTGGATATTTGAAACTTTCTCCATTTCTTTTCCGAAAATGGGTTCCTCAAAGAAGCAACAGATGGATCAACAAGTACAGAATAATTCAGAGTTGACTGAGAGGCCCCATCCTCCCATGTTGATAAAGATACCTGTTTCGAATCACATTGGCAGCCCTTTAGAGTTTAGACATCAGAAGATATTGTCTGAGTTTTCCATGGTCATGTTTCAAAAATCAAAACCAACCAATAGAGTTCCCTTGCCACTATTTCTTAACAGCCAACACATATCTAACATAAGTATGGCTATCGAAATTTTGTGTCAAATAACCTTTAGGTATCATGAAACACCTTACAAGTTACAATGTATTACAGCACCCAAAAAGAACTTAAACAACATACACTGAAAGTGCTACACCATTTTATCAATATTACAGACCCATTGTTAATTAAGCAATTTGCTACGCCTTATTCAGATAGCACTGAAGCTTTGCAAGGTGACATAATCATTCATTAATAGTGGCTAACTGTAACATATGAAAGGGAATGGTGTTTATCCAAAATAGAAATGTCATTTGTGAGATATCTCAGGTGAAGTATAAACAAAACCCCGTAGGGGAGTTAAGTATAAATAGAAGTGCTTTACGTAAATAAAGTAAATCTGGTTCACGATGAAATTCCATGGTAAAGAAACCACCTATTATGAGTGTAGAAAACAAAACCAAACAAGTTACACTTCAAAGAGGAAAGACTCAACGGGGCACACAGCATACTACTGCTTAGAACAACATGATATCACAAATAATCCTTACCTGAATGATTGACCTCAAGAACAGGAGAGTACTGGACGGATTCTGTGTAAATCGGTCAAAAACCCGTTGTACTATATTGCAACCTGCTTCAAGCTCTTTGAGGCATTTTGATGATAACGGCATTCGAATAATCGTGGAGTTTGCAGTACATAAAGAAGCATCCTGTGTAACACGCATTGGGAGGAACTGATCATGAAACCTCTCGACCAAATCATTTCCTGAAAGCCAACTATCATTTTCAGAACTTCATACACAAAAAACAGACATAGATGCCAAAACATAGGCAATAATGCCACTGATTCTAGATATGCGCATAACTACATCAGTACATGACTTCACAATTCAAGCATTGCCAAACAGGACAGTACATTCATATTAATGTGCTATCATGTTGCCACAAATAAAGAATCTAGCAGAATTGGAATAATAGATGTTTAAACATGGGACACAACAAGATTATTGCGTTAATGAATTTTATATGAAGCCTTCGACCACCGACAGAGCCATCTGCCCAACAGAATTGGTACAAATGTTTTTTTTTTCGTTTTCTTATTTCATTTTTGCTTTTTGTTTACCTTCTCTTTTCAGGTTTGCTGTTCACATTGTCCAGTTTGGGAGTATAAAATGTCACTAGCATGGTACATCTGTTTAACCTTAACCAGAACATACAACTTGCCACATACCAGTTGTTCAAACTAAATATTAACACCTCAACTTCTTCAACATAATTTATCTACTATACATTATGCAAGTTCAAAATCATAAACTAGTAGGAAGGTAAACGAAGCTCAATGCTTTTCAACAAAGTGTAATATGGTCTTCTACAAAGTAAAGTTAACTGTTTTCACGAGGCAATGCAATGCTTATTCATTATCCTTTATCCATCCATTTACTTTCTTCATTCTCAAGCAGCCTATACAACAGGGATATTCAACTTATTAGCATTCTCCAAATGAAAGGGGCATGGTAAAATCATCACATTGCAGTGTGACACGGTCTTGTCATTGATAAGGAGCTTCTTTCTTCCAGACTATCTAGTAATTACATTAGTATCACATAATTTTGGCCACATAAAGAATTTCAATTAACCAAGTCAGTACTTTGATTTAGTGAGAAGTAATACACAGATTTTGAGTGCACTATGTTATAACTGATCAAAGTGTATAATTTCAACCTGGGAGAAGAAAAAGATTGCAACATAAGGAAGATATGCTTATTGCTTTTACAGTAAAAGAGGATCTAAGGATTGTGCCATGTGTTCACAGTAGAACAAATTGTGATTCTATTTAATATGCAAATAAATTGAGTGATTATATTTTTTCGCACCTAACAAAGAGAAGTATCTCGCTGATGAGGTAGCAGTGGAAGTCGCACCACCAGTCAAGCCCAAGGGGTCAAAAATGTAAAAATAACCGCCAGAAAGAATAGTCAATGTATCACAAACAAAGTAACTACTAAGAAGTCCCAAGCCATAGTTAAGGATGTTCCCTCTCAATTTCCAGGGAGGAGGAAGTTGGAAGCTGCAAACTTCTTCTCGGTTCAATATGGTTCCTTCAAAGACCACTGTCAATGAAGATCCCTGGAGGTCACCTATAATTTCACAAAAAAAAAGAAACCATTAAGGACACACTAGAAGGTTAAAATATAATTAAGTGGACTATAATTGTAGCAGGTAGATAAAGTAAAACAATTGACTAGAGAGGCTGTTTCTACCATACCTAGACTCTGCTGCAGTAAGGACTGTTTCGGATGTTCTCTTTTGTCATAAATCAGATGCACTTTCTTTGCATTGCAATAGTCTGCTAGCTCTATCAGGTCAAACAAAAGAAAGTCGCTCTCACCATACAAAGCCAACAACTCACTTATTTTAGCATATTCCATGCAGGGCAAATTCCTCATTAACTCATCATCCAACAATGATGATCCACGAAGAGATCGTACACCAAGCCTATTAGCCAGTTCATTGCCAATACTGAGATGAATAAAATTCTTTGAAGTAGGATTAGCATTCATCCAGGGTGCATCATTATAGACGAGGTTTCTAGCAGGTGTCAGAACCCCAAATGAATCCGGAATCACCAATGAGCTCAGTAACACATCAGGTGCTTGACTGTCAGGGTAACAGTCAACAAATGCTTCCAATACACAATGAACAAAACTGAGTTGCTCTGTGGACAACGGCTCTCCTTTGACATCTCCTTCTAAACGGCGGAGCACATTCAGATAATCCATTGCATCAAATGTCTGCCTCACACCCAACTCTGAGAGTAACTTTTTAAACTCTGACAGTTCAGATGGAACTGTGTAAAGATAGGGATGATATTTCACAGGCGAGTCAAAAGCAAGTGCCTGTGGTGCCACGAACCTATCCCCTATATAAATCCATTGAAATCCATCCAGATACTCTTTTAGAGCGTTGCCACTGGTAGTGCCAATAATATCTTGCAATTTTGAGTAGATTACTTGAACCTCCTTTTGCAGAATAGCATCAATGTCTGTGTCTGCAGAAAACATTTTGAGTTCATCATAAGACTTGGAGAGCTCGACTAACTGAGAAGATAATGTGCTCACATTTGGTGGGTCACACCAGCCTAGTTTTCTTTGCACATACATGGAACATGAATCTGCACTAAGAATTAGATTTTTGATGAAACAAGCCACATCTGCGATTGCGGCCTTGTGATGACTGGTGGTGCTATGATATCTCCAGATATGAACCATGGAAGTCCTTTGAGCAATGGTGCAACATGGACTGGACACCAAGAAATATTTTTGAGCTCTGACCAAAATAAATCTTCTGGCATATCATAATCGAAATTCGAGAACAAAGATACACTAGTTTGGTCACTTGGATCACACACATCCCCATGATTTTCAGGTTCCAAATTTTCACTAATTTCAGATGCTTCCGGATTCTCATCCTTAAGAAAAGTTTCTCTGCCCTCCATGTTTGAAGTTTTGGACTCAAGAATGTTTAGATAGGTAAGTAGTTTTTGCCCATAAGCAAATGCATCATCTTGTCCTGAATTCTGCACCAGTGAAACTGACCTTGCCATGTCAAGCAAAGTACTAAAACCGAAATTTCTTTTCAATCCAAAACTACCCAATAATTCAATTACTTCAGTCATCATGAACTTTTCTGAAGGAAAGAAGGTTTCTTGGTGCAGCAACTTCAGTAACTCAGGCACACGAGGATCATAGAGCCTGATGAGAAACCAAATATTAGAACTAAGTACACATTGGCATGTATCGAAGTCAGAGGGAGAGAGAAGAGGAGGGTGTGGAGAGAAAAAGGAAGACTGACCTGGAGGGCTGGACCCACGCTCCATTGGCTGCCAAGACAAAAGGGGTCTCACATAATGCAGCTCTTGCTGAATCATCATTATCTATCAACAGTTTCACGTCACGAATAACTGCTGAAATAATAGCTGGCTGCAAAAGAAACTCTGACATTCGAGGAAGGACATGGTCCTTGTAAAATTCAACCTTTTGAGGTTCCTTGATATCAAAGTATGATACCAAAATTGACCTCTCCTTCACAGATTCAGTTCTTATAAAGCTTGCATTCAATAAATCCTCATGCACCCCTTCTGGTTTAAGCCATTTTCTAGGATTTGTCAAGTTAACAAGTTCCCTAGATTTATAAGATTCAAATATTGGGAGGTTCCTGATTGTATTCATATGGGAGGAGGTGATCTGATTTCGGAAAACCACTTTGACTGGAAAATGAAACTTGGAGTTCATGTGCTTCTGCCAGTGAAGTGCTCATAAACAATTCCTTGATATCCTGGAGATTAGAAGCTACAGACTGCACAGCATTCAAAACACCAGCAGCAGTGGATTCCTGAACAAAATTAAGCTAACTGGGGATGTTCTATCTGCAGATCAGATCGCAGAAATAAACATCCCAGTTTTTGAAGCAAGGAATGCATATTTTCACTCCATCCATCATCTCTTATTACATTTGCAGCATTCCCAAGTTGCACGACCGCGCCATCTACAAGAGGTAGTATAGGCCACTTTGCAAAAACTGAAATATCGTCACAGGAATGCCTCAAAAAATTCCAGAGTGATACCATCCATTCCATACTTGGCTGGCCTTGCTGCTCAGGAAACCAAGACAACTGCTTAGCATGTTGCCATTCAGGTGGCAAGATCCTAGGCAACAGCTCAATGAGAAGATTACTTGTGAATATATATATGTTCATGCGTGCAGAATAAGCTATGTCATACAACTTCTTCGAAACACCTTCTGGTAAAGAATTGTCAATAACAAGATGTGGTATGGAATCCTTAAGAAGTTCAAATTCTATTTGTGAAGTAAGGAATACTCTCTCACCCTCCCCTCTTTTGTTGAATGTTGTAAATGATCCATTTGCCACAGGAAGAAGAGCCAAACCTTGCAATTTATCACAAAAAGAAGGATCTCCCATATCGCTCAAGCAATACTCAAGAACAAGTATAGCCTCTTCTCTGCTTCTGAAGTCACGCTTCCGTCGGATCAACAAATTCCTCAGCAAATGAGGATTTAGTAGATGAACTGATGGATATGCATTAATGAAATTGTCAATTATTGGCTTGGTTACAGATACCACAGGCAAACCAGCTTGAGAGAGAAGTTCTGCCAGCTCCATTGCCTTTGAGAAACTGAAATCTGGAAAAATAGCCTGCCTTGTTGACAGCCAGTGACCACCTCGAGCTTTTGTATATAGAACGTGAATTCCAAGTTCCGCAATAGATACATAGAGTTTCCACACCATGGAAGACCATGGTTCAACACCTGCAGCACTAGGCCAAAATGACAGAAACAAGTCAGAGGGACCAAGCTCTTCAGCAACAGCTGAAAGCAGGTGCCCATAAGCAGGAGCAACGACATCTTCAAGCAGCGCTAAATTCCACTCTGATCGTACTCTTCCTCCCCCAGCCATGTCATTTCCGATCCAGATATCCCTTCGATTTGAAGAGAGTTCAAAATAAGCATTTACATGCACTGGCAAGCTAGTATTGATTGGTAGAGGAAGAAAGCAAAAGGCCCGACCCTCAAATTTTTTCCTGACCTTAGAAGATCCAAGATCTGTGTTTGTGAAAACTGAGTTATCATGGTTGACTTCAGCTTCAGCAGATAGTTCTTTTGTATTATCTACACTCACTGAATGCAGATATGCAGCAACAGATGCCCACGGAACAAAGAAGTGAGATTTACTACCAGAGGCAGTTGACAACTTTCTAGCATGACCCCCGCCTATACATTCAGCTAAAATCCATGAGTGCAACAAGTGTGAAGAAGGGTTCTGCTCAAGAATAGTAACCTTCTGACAACTCCAGGGCAACTCACTGTCTTTAGTCTTATTCAACTTACTGAAAAACTGATTTCTATCCATTCCTGATGGTTGGTTTCCATGTATAAATGCAAGCATTGCGCCATGTGCATGAGGCTCTTTACCCATCTGAGAGCTATTATTCCTGGACACACAATGAACAAGTCGCATCTCCTGACTGTTGTTCTCCTTGACATATAGAGTAACCTTTTTAACATTACGGAGAAAAAGTAGAGCCTCAGATACAACTTCAGAGAATGAAGAGAAAAGCATTTCCACATCTTGTGGTGCATACATTTCTCGTTTTATTTGACTTCTCGAAGCAGCTGCCGCATTCCTAAGGGGGAACCGGAAGAGTGTACCTGGAAATGGCTGTTGCAAATTGCAACCAAAATGTAAGAATGGGGTGAACTGATCAGGAAACTGATCTAAGATCCTTCTTCCTACAAATTGTATCCTTAAACCTGGATGAGATGGAGATATTCCTGGCAAATAACAGGCATGTGGATCAAACATGACAATATTCTCACCGGAAACAAATCCAGGAATATCTGTGAAGTGATACACACAATTGAAGCCAAGACCAAACCTTCCAATTGCAAAAGGTTTCTCAAGTTTGCTGTCTTGACCTATTCGTGAGATGGCATAAAGGTCATGTGGACTAAAAACTGAATCATTAAAGCAGTAGAGAGCAGGTCCTTGCCATTCAGCCATTTCAGGTGAAAGAATGGATGAAGTTCCATACTGAGTCTTATCCAGCAAAAACACAACCTCAGAAGCCTTAGCATCTTCTGCATTCTGTACCAACTCAAAGAGAATTCCAGGGCCATCTGCATACATCTCAACAATATGCTTGAGTCGTGTAGTCAAGTCTTCATGCTGTCCAAACGCTTCAGCAACTCCTGACAAACTCAAATTCATCGAATCAGAACTCTCAGCAAGCAAGAGGCGACGAAGAGAGCGGACACCAAGCCTTTCAGCCACATCATTAGAAATGTTACCATGAACAAAATTGTGAACATACTTTTTCGAGCTTAAAGCAATGCTTGATGCACTCCCACTGATGTCATGACCAAAATCAAGTAACCAAGGAGCGTCATTGAATACAAGTTCAGAAGATAGACAGAGCCTAGACGAAGAATCGGGTAAATATATTTGTGTTTGCTGATCCTGAAACCGGAACTCAGATAAATGCTGCACAACCAAGATAGCTGTTCTTAATTCTTCAGCTTCAAGTGAAGCTGAAGCTTTCCTTATGGCCATTCTGCTGAGAATACTAGCATAATCAACAGGGTACAGGTGCTCCTTTATGCCGAGCTCCAAGAACAAGTCTTTGAACACTGCTAAATCAATTGGAACAACACGAATGTATGGTGCTAGATGAAGGTGGCCACTTAAAACAACTTCGTCTGTTTTCGCAAATCCATCACCCACCCAAATCCATCTGCATCCTTCTAGAACCACTTTCACAATATCCATTTCATCAGAACCAATCAAGTTTGTCAGCAAAGAATAAATCTTAGGCATCACCAAAGCTAATTCTTGCCAAGGACTTGATCAGTCACAATTTCATTGTTCTTGCCCAATTCAAGCAGTTGAGCTGCAATCACGCTCCCTGATGGAGGCGACAACCAACCTAAGCTGTACGACAAGGCTGAGGAAGTGCATTCACCATCGAGAATACGTGAGCCAGCAGAAACAATCCACATATCTTCCTGCATCCTTACTTGCTTAGGTGGAGCTATCATTGATGATACTGAAGGCCATGGCAAAGCTGGACTTGGTGCAGTAGACAACACAGGACACCAGCAAATCAGTCTCAGATCACTCCAGAACTTTTCAAGATCAAATTCCCAAGATTTGTCACGAGGCCTGAGCGCAGTGGTAACTTTAGCTAGCATGCTCACCTTCTTCCGACCATCAGATAGCTTATTCACATACCATTTGTGAGCATGAACTTCAAGGTATGAAAGAAGGACCTTACCCCTTGAATGAGCCTTCTGCTGATCTATGTTCACAAGTGAATCAATCTGCCGAGCACTTTGTAATATGGTATCAGTAGAAACTGAAGTTCTAAGCCCCAAGCAAAGCAGCATATCAAGAACATCTGGATTTTGAAATAAACCATGCGGAAAGCAATCTGATTCCTGGAGAAGAACATAGAGTTCTTCCACCCGGGGGATCATAAAGAGATTGTGGGCTTTTTAAAGTTCCATTGATAGTGGGAACAACTCTAAGGGTTTTCAAGGTTTCCTTGAACATTGGATCCTCCAAGGACAGCTGAGGCAGATCTTGTAAGATTGTTAATAGAACTGAATCGCGCAACTCCGTTTGCAGCTTGTCCAATCTATTCAGAACATAACTCTGGTAGAAGTTTGATTTCGGCATGCGTTCAACGCCATAATATCTCATTATGATATCTTCATCGCTTGGGCAAATAGAGAAAATAAAGTCGGCATTGAGTAAGTGGTCAGGAACACCAAGAGGTGGCAGATACTTTCTTGAACTGGACAAATCCGAGAAACCATAAGTACTGGGAGAACCTCCATCAAATACCCTGAAGATCGGAAGCTTTTTGCATTGATTTATACTTATGTCAAAAAGGCGGGCTCCTAAATACCATTTTGGATCCAGAAGAAACTGGTACAGTTCATTTTTTTCACCAGGGGTAATGTGTTGAAACAGAGATTGCAAGTCAACACCTTCCAATGAGACAACCCCAAAGATTGACTGAAGAACTCCAGTTGCATCACCATCATACACATAAAACGACAATTGCTTGTGGTCACTCAAATATTCAGCATCCAGTATCTTGCAACCAAACTTTGCCAGGAGTTCATTCATCAAATTAGACAGTGATTCTGTTTTGATTAATTTTGAGCTTGTACGTGCCCTGTGAAGGTGGCCAGAAGTAGATGGCAGTATAGGCCAATCACTAAACAAATGAAGGTCATACGAGCGTCCCCCTATATACTGCCAAAAAAGTTTAAACCAGGCTGCTGTAGGAGATGACCCACCCAAGCCTGGATTCCAGGGAACTTGATCTTTAAGCTTCCATCCAGGAGGAAATAACCTGGGTAAGAGCTGGCAGAAGATCGGGCCATCAATGAGCCTAATGTTGGCCTCGGAATCACTGGCTATCTGATACAGCTTGTCTAGTAGTACAGGAGGGATGCTTCTGTCAACTATTCTATCACCAACTTCAGCTAGAAGCTCATATTCGATGTTATCACAGACGTAATAATAGCCCTCTTGCGAACTAGCAGAAAAAGTCCCATACTGCATATTTGCTAGTGGAATCAGTGGAAGGCCATTCATGCATTTACCAATATCAGTACTGTCAACATCAGTAAGACAATATTCCAATAATATCAACTTATGAGACTTTCCTAGTGTAGCAAGTTTAGCATAATTCTTGAGGAAATGCCTCACTATAGCAGGACTCACTATTTTGAGCATAGACTGCATATAAAATTTTGAAAACATATCACCTATTGCATTAGATACGCGGACAATTGGCATTCCTACCAACACGAGGGCTTCATTAAGATTATTGCTTCCTGAGAATCCCTCATCATGAAGCAAAGCATCAGCTGGTGATATCCAGGTCCCGCCTTCAATCTCTGAATGCAAGACTGGAGAGGTGTAAATAGCCTTGTAAATTTGCTCCACAAGGATACTCCACGGCTCCTCATATAAACCAGTTGGCCACAGTGAATAATATGATATTGTGGAGTCAGAAAGCATCCGCAACTTCATCAGCAGTTCTCTGAACAACGGAGCGACAACATCTTCCAACAGTAGCCTGTTCCAATCAGAGCGAAGCTTACCACCCCTGTCCATGTCAGCACCATACCAAATGTCACGTCGGTTGGATGAAACTTCAAAATAACCATTGACATGCACAGATAGTCCTGTCCTTACTGGCAAAGGAAGAAAACAGAAAGCACGACCCTGTCTGAGAACAGTATCCTGTAAAATTCAGCAATTACCATAAAGTGTCCAAGATACTACAAAATGATGATGCACAGTAGAAATTTTGCTATAGTATGAAGTTTTCTACAAAAAAAAAAGATCAAGTCATCAAGCATACATTTTGCAGTACAAGACATCACAAACCACAATTGAAGTTTTCGATACTCCAGACTCCAGAGACTTTGTTCAACAACAAAAACAAGACAGAGAATGATATGGAACCCCTCTTTTCAGATAAGGATGCCATTGTTGGTGTGATATTTTTTACTAAACAACAGAAGACAGCAACAGGCAGGACCCAGCTGTTGCCACAAATCACATATTGCAAAACCACAAAGACAATTGTTCACTGATAGATATCACATTAATCTTGCTCCCTAACCAAAAGAATACCTATGAACTCTGCAAGTTGGGCCTATCACATGCCTCTTGGCAATTTCATGAGAAGTTAGACAAAAGTAAACAAAGGTGACATTTCACAACAACATATTTAATTCGGTTAACTAAGAATCACAAAGACAGCTCCATGACAACATGCATGAATAATTGGTCTATGCTCTACAGTCATGGTCTGATAGCATAAAACACACTGAAAGAAAGTGAACAATTAAGCGATTGAGAAACTTCCGAAGTAGTTTAACTGACATTCTAGAGAAAATTCAAGCGCTTGGTGCAATTTGCATTAGGAGGAAAAAATATTCAGGATCCAAGCAACCTAAGTCAGTACTGGAGATGCAAATTGAAAATGAATCAGGGATTACCTCAAGCCCTGTGTTAGAGATGCAAGCAGCAACAGAAGCCCAAGGCAGTAAGTGAAGATCATATTCCTTGGCAGCTGCAGTTGCAAAAATACCAATTTTACTTGATGCAGATGCCATTCCCTGAACGATAAAATAGGTAGAGCTCTTTTTCTCAATCTTGTTGCCCAAGAATGCTTCTGATATGAAATCCATCGAGAAAGAGTCCAACTTCTGCTTAGAAGATTCAACAGGAGTGCCAGAGAACCTGACAAGGGCTTGGCGATGCCAGGACAGCTTTTCACTCTGTGGCCCTAAGGAACAAGAGTATATTATTTTTGGCTCAGTCATACCAGATTCCCACACATACATCTCAAGTGATAGAACATTTTTAAGGAACAGCAAATTATATACAGCTTCTTGGTACAGTTTGGCAAAAAGAGATAAAATATCATCTTCTGTGTATGACTGTCTTGATAACCGACTTGAAGATGCTTGCTCAGAACTCCTCAAAGGAAAACGAAACAGAGTTCCCAGAAATGATGCTTCCATGTCGCAGCCAAACGCACAGTACGGTGAAAGCTGATCATGGTACATTGTAATTGCTGATGAACTGACATAGTCAATGCGCTTTCCAGGATTTGCTGCTGACACATTTGGAAGATAAGCACCCTGGGGGTCGAATAGGACAACGTACTTGCCACTCACGAACGACGGCAAGTCAGTCAAGTGGTAAACTGAGTTAAAACCAACCCTGCAGAAACATAATTGTGTTTTGTGCTTCAGAAGTCTTCCAAATAATAAATTAATTAGTGATCGAACTCAGCCTTGAATAAAGCATTATGCCGTAATGCTTAAGAGAGTAAGAGAGAAAGCCAGTTACATGCAACACAAATGGAAACGACGGAAATATAAATGGGTCATAGAGCAATGCAGTAGATAAAACATAACATATATTCATTGATTTGTCCCTGCATCCCACTTTTTTCTTACACTACACAGCATATTGATACATTCCCTAATCATTGGGAATGATCGCACCCTCAAAATAGCTGGCATCCTGACAAATTGTAGTGGTTACGACGCCATAACACAAAAGCAGCATCGTCACAACCAGTTTGGAAGCGCGGCATTGCAAGTGACCACTCCAGGCAAGCTCCGCATTGAGAATGAGGCAGTAGAGGCGTACCCGAAGCGGCCAGTCTTCCACGTCTGGGCGACCTTCCTGCTGTCTCCAATGCGGGAGATGCTGGCGAAGTCCTCGTCGGTGAACACCGCGTCGTTGTAAGCAAGCAGCGCTGGGCCCTGCCACTGCGCGAGCGCGGGGGCCAGCAGCGACGCCCTCCCATGCGATCGGCGGTCGAGGCAGAGGCGGACGCGCCCTGCGCCAGCGTCGTCGGCGTTCTGGATGAGCTCCCGCAGCGCGGTGGTGCCCTCCGGGTAGTTGGCGAGCACCTCGCGGATGCGGCGCGTGAGGTCCACGCGCTGCCCGAAGTCCTCCAGAAGCATCCCGCCCCCGCCGCCCGGATCCATGGCGGTGAGGCGCCGATCGGAGCTACTGGGGCATCCCGGGAGCGAGGAGGGAGGGAGGATGCTAGGGTTTCCGGAGGGATGCAAAGGGTTTGGTTTGGTTGGGTATGGCTCTCCGATTTAGTCCTCGTTCGGTTAGGGCATATCACTCCAGGAATCGTTCCGGCCAAGAAAATTCGTATATAAATGAAGCAACGAATCCGGCCAGGAATTCTTCCGGGTGTCTGTTCCCCGGCAAACGAACGGGGCCTTAGGCGTGTTCGTGGCGGTGCGAGGACGGGGTGGTTGGTCTTCCGGGGATTTGATTTGACTCTGCCTAGCCTCTTCGTCGCCGTGTTTCTTGTTCTTGGCATGTTTAGTTCCATTTCAAAATGTCAAATTTTTCAAAATTTTATGTCACATCAAATATTTAAACGTATGCATAAAGTATTAAATATAAATAAAAAATAAAACTAATTACATAGTTTAGACGTGAATCTTTTAAGTCTAATTAAACTATAATTGGACACTGTTTACTAAATAACAACGAAAATATTACCGTAGCATTTCGCCAAAAATTTCAGCATCCAACGGTGCCTTGGAGGGGAGGGGAAGCCGAGAAAGGAGGTCCCGCCGTCCCAACGATTTCCCGGCAGCTGCTCACCTCACGGGTGACGGATGAGACCCACGTGCCAGGGATGAGGGGAGAGACAGGTATGGACTTGGGCCGTGTAGTGGCTTCTGTGTGTGAATTGGTCTGGCTGTGGCCCACGGACATTCATCGTCATCTGCGATGGCCCATCTTTGAGATTGCAGCGATGCAAATCCATTTTTTTTAGCGTGCTAACTCGTCTACAAATACACTTAAACCATTATTACGTGTCTATCTCAGTCTACATGTGTTGAAGTGGTTTGATATAAAACTTAACTAAAATTCCACACCAAACCACTCTAACACACATGGATTGATCTAGATACATAGACATGGCCTAACAATATATATATGAGTTGTTGAGCACATAGGCGAAGAATGAGCTAGTTCTCCTGCCCGGAGCTGTCAATGGCGAGGAGGTGGCTCCACCTCTGTGACATTTTCCATTTCCTATTGGGGCACCGTTGGGCCAAACCTAGCGCACCCAGCTACCATGGCTAAAAAGATCGACCAACTATATCTTCATACATGAAATTTCGTAGTATGATGACGGATAGGCGGCATTGATGGTGTGGTGCATGTGGCACCCACAAACATACTAAGGGCGCTTCCAAGTGTCCAACAACCAGCGATGTCTTTGATTAACTTGGATCTTGTTTAACATGAAAGAGTGTGTGTGTTCTAATGACAAACAAATCAACAAATGATTTCACATGGGAGAGACGAGGGCATTTCAGCGGGAGAGAATATGGATTTAGTGGCATATAGGGTTTGTTTGCATGGCCATATATCGACCTTAAATCTACGTGCGTTGGAGTGGTTTGGTGTGGAACTTAGTTTAGGCCCCCTCTTTCTCAGCTCTTCTCTAGCTACTCTATCGGGGACACCATAATAAATCCAGACCAATGGCAAGTGGCTTGACAACCCGAAACAATAAATCAAGTTCACGTCTTGTTGCACAAAATCACAGGAAAAAACATCGAAGCCATCCACATCTGAGTGGAAAACAAAGCAAATATTTAAAGCTACTCACTTCATTGTAAAATTATAATTCATACAACTTCTATCCTAAATTAAACTTCTCGACTTTGATCAATTTTTCGGAAAAAATGCATCAACATTACAAACACTAAATTAATTTTATTTAATTATCCATGAATACATTTTGATACTCCATAGTGATAATATATCTTTTAAAAACTGAGTGAGAAGTTTGCTCGCAGTATTTTTTTATAAGGTAGGAACAAAATTTACTTTTGTTACCACAGGTACACATCACTTTATCTTCAAATATCGCATTGTGGGCTGTAGCTTAGCCAATAGGCTGATGAGTCCACGGCCCAGTGAAGCACTACCGCGCTAGTCAGTCAAACTCGCTTCTCGTTCTCGTGGTTCCCACCTTCCGAGTTCCGACTCCCGCGGCGAGGCCGCACGGTACGGCGGCGGCGGCGGACAGGAGGGAGTCAAGAGCTCGCTCCGTACAATGGTTCACGCGGTGCCAAATCCTCCAGCCTCATTTCCCTCGCATTCCGTCTCGTCTCTCGTCCTTCGCCAGTTGTTGCGCTCCCCCGTCGGTCAGTGCCGCCCCAATCCCCATGCTCGTAATCTTCTAACCCCTTCCGACTCTCCTATCAGTTTTGCCAAATTGCTGTAGTCAGTCAACTGGTGTCTCAATCGCCTCTTCACCATGGCGATCCGGCCCAAGTTGACGGCCATTTGATGACGCTAACCGTTACTTGTCCCTCAGAGTCGACGCCCGCGGACTCTTCGACGGAATGCCTCCAGAGGGCAAGGGCATCGACGCCCTCCCGGACGAAGTCCTCCATCACATTCTCGGCTTCCTGGAGGCGCAGGAGTCCGTGCGCACGTGCGTGCTGTCCTGCCGCTGGCGCAACCTCTGGAAGTCGGCTCCAGACGTGCGCATCCTCGCCTCCAAGGGCAAGTTCTTGGGATCGGTGGAAAAGCTCTGCAACTTCTTGGACTGTCTGCTGGACGTCCGTGGGGGCGCGCCTCTCGGCACGTGCGAGCTCCGTTTCAGTTATTGGACAACGGCAGCTTCCATAGTGCAATTCATACAACGCTTGGAGCCCCTGGTGGGAAACTGGTTCCGTCATGCTTCAGTGTGCAAAGCTCAGGTACTCAGCCTCTATGCACATGACTCTGGGAGGATTGACGGATATCACGGACACACAGTTTGCCTGTACAAGATACCACATCTCAACTCCCAGCACCTGACGAGGCTAGAGCTTGGCAGCATAGTGGTTGACAACAGTTTCCTTAACTTCTCAAACTGTCCGTCTTTGCAGCATATATAATTTGAGAACTGTTGTTTCGGATCATATGGTTTTAAGCTGGGTGATTCCCGCACTCACATTTGTGCCCCGAATCTGGTTTCACTACATCTAGATGAAACTTGGGGGTGGACGATTCCCATGTTTGAGAGCATGCCGTCATTAGTGAAGGCATTTGTTAGAATATGCATGGTTCCAGGGGACAGCTGTGGCCTAATGGCCAATTGTACTTGTGAGTTCTGTGACAATTTTTACAATATTGGTGATGGCACTGGCAGTAATGGCTGTGTGTTACTAAATGGTTTATCCGAAGCTAAGGATTTGACGTTGATTTCTGCACCCCAACCGGTATGCCTTCAATGTCATCTCTATGACTCTAACTCGATTATGTTATGTCATCTCATTATTGGCAGGCAAGCTTTTGCCTTTCGCATTCCTTGTCACTAAATATTTAAACTCAAACCATGCTCTCAATGAGGATTGCTTCATCATTTTCTCTTACGCTCTGTTCAGTTTATCTTCAAAAAGGATTTGAGATGGTGCCCAACGTTTAGTAAGTTAAAGACCTTTCTGCTCAATGACTACTGGTGTGTGCCTGATGATTTCTGTGCACTAGTTTGTCTTCTTGAACACTCACCGGTTCTAGAGAAGCTTACTCTTTCACTTTCCTCTAAGGTGCATGCTTCATAAATTGCCAACTGATGCTTTTTAGAATTATTGTATTGTCAATTGATCGTGCTAAACTGTTTTTGTTGATTACATAAGGTTGAACAACAAAGAAAAACAAATAATGGAAGTCTCAGACCGATGGAGAGATCAGCTGCAATTTTGGAACACCTTAAGATAATTGAAGTCAGATGTGATGTGGTTGATGAGAGGATTTGTAAACTTACCTTATTCCTATGTGCATTTCACATACGTAAGCTGACTTGCTACTCTCCATGCTTCTATATTTCTGAGATTCAATGTTACCTTTATTTGTATGAAAAGAAAGCAAGCAGCGCTGATGACTGAGTATGATGCAAAATTAGAGAAATGAATCCATGCACTGCATAAACATGTTGTTGACAAGCAGCATCCATGCAGCTAGAGAGTTACCTAGATTGAGTTATGTTGGATAAGTTATAAGACAACACTTTGACTTGCTAAGAAGTTCTGAATTGTCGAAAATGACTTGCTTTAGTAATTCTTACAATATGTCAGCTTGCTGAGTGGTTGTAAACACCAGCACATATGTCCACATTTGATAGCTTGAGGCAGTCACACATAGCTAGAAAACCATGTATCCTACCATCGATCATGTTTTGTACTGTAAGTCTGTAACCAACCATTTTATCTGAAAATGGTCGCACATTTTTATTCTGTTACAGATTTGAGCTTTAACAACCCAGACCAGGATGAGGAGGAAGGACATGTTTGAGCTTTAACTAACGTGCAAGAAAAGCTGGACTATTGATGGATCTACTGTATCTTACAGCAAGGCTCTTACTGTTGAGGAATGCGAAGTTTGCTGGAACAAGGTTGCCAGCTTTTGTCTATGCGTCATTGGGTACATTGTGTGAGCTTTAGGCTTCCAGTCACATGCATGCGGACTTCGCAGCATAAATTGTTCAGAACCTTAATTATCTTAGTTGACTTGTGCAGTTGTGCTCTTTATATGTTATTCCAACCGCACTTTTAGTTTATGCAGACTTATTTGGTAATCTGGATCAATTAATTATCTTAGCATACTTTAGTTCAGCGGTAACGTGATCCTGTTTAGTTATGCCTTTACTACTGTGTGGTTGGCTCTTGCCTGGTTGGCCATTTACTCATAAGGCCTATAGGGTAATGTATCTTCATTCCTAACCATTGTGTGGGCTCGAGGTAGATGGATACCAGGTTAACCTACTATTTGTGTCATCAGGTGGTTCCCCCATGCCCCCTCCTACGTATGGTGCTGTGCAAACCAGGTGGTAACGTGACACCTTTATTTCTTTCGTAATATAAACATTGGCATGTGGCTGTGGACTGCTGTGATTGTGACACAACTGATACGATGATAATGTGGTATGCAATATAGTACAATGGTCAGTGATGACATACTGAGTTTTCTGGGATCCTCTTATGTCATACTTGGCTGTGGTGATTATTATATCCCTTGTTTGTGCTTTCAGTCTGCTAGAATGGTTAATTACGACATCTTATTCTGCCTTTTTGTCACATTTTGGTCAACGTAATGTGCAGTGCTGCTCTTGGTACTGAGCAATGCTATTTCAGTAACGACATATATCTCGTATTCGCATGTCATTTTTGTTTCTCTGCCGCCCAGAGATAGGTTCAGACGTTCAGTTGCCTTTGTTTTCAATGTGATTGTATTCATACCTTCAGGACTCGTATTCGCATGCTTCATTCTATATACTGCTGGTACAGTGCATGCTACATTAGATAATTTCTGTCACTTAAGCTTGTCCTGACACAGTTGCTGTCAATCGCCTTCCATTTTGCTAATGTACGCGATGTGGGGGCCGTTTGGTTCGGCATCCAGAACCAGAATTTTGGGCTTCGTGTTTTACCATTCAATTTTTAATCCTAGCGAGGATTTCCATATGCACGACTAGTGGTAGGATTTTATTACTACTTACAAACATTAGAAGAATTCCACCATTTTAGGCTATCTTCAACAACAATACCTAAAATACAAACACATTCGTCCTTTGGGTAGTGCTACAGGTAAAATGTTCAATATTTATTCGGCATCTTCTCTAACAACAAGACCCAAAAGAGAATCATTTCTACAAATGGGTTTCCAGGAGAGAGGATGCCCTATATTTGGGTTGTGCCTCTCAGGCAACCCAAAATAGGTCTTCCGTATAGGTACTCTGTTAGAGGCTGATTTTAGGTCTCTTGCTACCTATTTTGGATTTGGATGTTTATGGTTCTTTATCGGAGACCGTGTTAGTAGGGATCTCGCAGTCGCAGGCAGCTCCCCTCCCAGATCTAGACACATCGATCTCACCCAGGAGCGCGAATTGAACACCTGGGATCGATGCCTGGCGAGGCAAGTTTGCCTGGGGAGCAATTCAAACAGGCCCAGAATATGGTGAACATTAGTAATTAACGATCGAGCTCTGATTTCTGGACAACAAACATAACATGGCACGGTTCAGGCGTCCAGTACTGGATTCCTTGCACGACCATGGATACGCATACGCCCATATGCAGGCTGCCCATCACAAGATAGATTTTCCTGAAAAGTAAAGGTAGACTGCTTGAGGTCGGGCGAGCGAACCGGTTCCTCTACCAAACGAGCTAGTCGCTCCAGTCATGGAAAAAAAAATTCTATACATGCGTGATGTACATTTTTCACGATCGTGCCTAGCACGTTTTTCATTAAGCAAAAGAGAGTTTTATTACAACACCTAGTAGCGACAGTAATCCAAGGTTACCGAAGCCCACGGCCACTAAGCTCGCACGTGATCGTAATTATGCATTACAAATTTCGCGACCGGAGGATGAAACATGTCAAAGAAGCGCCACGAGCGACCTCAAATGCTTGTAGCCAGCCAAGCACCAAGCGTCAATCTCTTCTTGGATCACCGCTCCCAATTGCGCTGCTGATGTTGCGACTCTGTTGAAGGTCCTCGCGTTTCTTTCCTTCCAAAGCATCCAACCAATGAGGAAGGAAAGAGAGTCAAAACCTCGGTGGATCGGTTTAGGAACCATCTTCCTGTTTTGCAGCCTCCACTGCGTGATGAACATCAAAGTATATACGTTTGAGTATGAGCCGTGCAAACGTTTTAGAAGTCATGACTCATGAGCATGGGACACACATCTCAAATCTACCAAATGATTATGAATATTAACGTAATTCTCACGCTACATAAATTCGAAACGATTTATGGATAGCAAAAAGTCTCAGTTTGTGTTGCATAGTACATAGCACCTACAAAAATATGTGTATAGATACTGGTTGACTTAATTGGGTTTAAGGGGAAAAAAAGAGTACCATGGCGTGGTGCCACGTCTTCTGACCTCAAACCAAGAACATGGTCGGAACTTCAGCTGCACGTTCAGAAAAAATGGCATTAGGTAGTAGTAGTAGTATTCAAGGTCAGACATTCTCAGATCACAGTGAGCTGGGTTGAATTATTGTCCCTGCTTGCTAATGGAGTCTCTTGATACTGTCTTATTATCGCGGATTCGCGGCCGACACAACAACTTGATCGTTGACAGTTGACACGGATGACCCCAGGCCATTTCGCACATTCCCCGAGACGTGCATGGCTCAAACTCCGGCAGAGGGAGGCTCCTTCCCGCCCGACGAGACGACCCCTCTATCGTCGTCCCGGCCTCCCGACGTGCCTGGCACCACGACCACGTACCGAACGTGCGTGCGTGCACTACCATGTCGCCGGTGTCGATCGACCGAGGCCTCGATCTAACGAACTCACGTGCATCTTATAAAACTCGTCCTCGCCGCGCCGGGCTCTCCAGCCACTGCCAACGACGACGACGACGACGACGGCGTTATTACCTTGAGGTCGAGCCAGCATGGCGCGGTTGATGACGACGGCGACCAAGACGCCGGCCACCTTGGCGGTTGCCGCGTCGTTCCTCCTCCTCGCCACCGCGGCGGCGTCCGCCTCGTCGGCGCCGTTCGACTACGCCGGCGCGTTCGACAAGTGCCTGCAGTTCTTCGAGGCGCAGCGGTCCGGGAAGCTCCCCGCCGACCGCCGCGTCCACTGGCGCGGGGACTCCGCACTCAAGGATGGCTACCTCCAGGGGGTACGCACTTCCGATCCGTTTCTCTCTCTCGCCGGCGGGCCGCCGATCCGGCCGTACGTGCGTGGGTGGATGTGGATCGTCCATAATCGTCGGAGCTGATGATGACGACGACCCGTCGTTGCGTTGCATGCATGCGCAGGTGGACTTGGTGGGCGGGTACTACGACTCCGGCGACCACGTGAAGTTCGGGTTCCCCATGGCGTACGCGGTGACGATGCTGGCGTGGGGGGTGCTCGAGTTCGAGAAGGAGATGGTGGCCGCCAACAACCACCAGCGCGCGCTCGACGCCATCCGCTGGGGCACCAACTACTTCGTCAAGGCCCACACCGAGCCCAACGTCCTCTGGGTCCAGGTACGCACGTCACATACAGGCCCAACGGAGATTTCCGGCCCACCAGGCCTGCAGAGCTCAAACGGTGCCGGTCTGCAGGTGGGCGACGGGGACAGCGACCACCTCTGCTGGGAGCGCGGCGAAGACATGTCCACGCCGCGGACGGCGTTCAAGATCGACACGAACCACCCGGGGTCCGAGGTCGCCGCCGAGACGGCCGCCGCGCTGGCCGCCGCGTCCAAGGCCTTCCGCCCCTACGACTCCATGTACGCCGACCTCCTCCTGCTGCACGCGAAGCAGGTACAGTGCTGTGTGTGCCGGAACGCATGCATGATGCATCTGTTCTTGTACAGAGTGATGCGATTCAGAGTACTGAATGTTCAGTTCGTTCCACTGAGACTTTCTGTTGTTCCTGTGTTGGTGACATGGACAGCTCTTCACGTTCGCCGACACGTTCAGAGGCAGGTACGATGATTCCCTGCTGAGCGCCAAGAAGTTCTACCCTTCCGGTTCTGGCTACGAGGTAGGATAATTACATTCTTCTTAATCGAACAATTAATTCGGGGCTGAATCTGACAGACAACTCATCACGAACCGATGAACGAATTGTTCAGGACGAGCTGCTCTGGGCGGCGGCGTGGCTACACGAGGCGACCGGCGACGAGAAGTACCTGCAGTACGTGTCCCAGAACGCGGACGACTTCGGCGGGATCGGCATGTCCATGCTCGAGTTCTCCTGGGACAACAAGTACGCCGGCCTGCAGGTGCTCCTCTCCAAGGCGGTCCTCGCCGGCAGCGGCGGCGAGTACGCCGACACGCTAAGGCAGTACCAGGCGAAGGCCGAGTTCTTCCTGTGCGCCTGCCTGCAGAAGAACGGCGGGAACAACATGAAGCTCACCCCGGGCGGGCTCCTGCACGTGGACGAATGGAACAACATGCAGTACGTCAGCTCCGCCACCTTCCTCCTCACCGTCTACGCCGACTACCTCTCGGCCTCGCGCGGCGCGCTCAGGTGCCCCGACGGCGAGGTGAAGCCCGGCGAGATGGTCCGCTTCGCCCGGTCCCAGGCGGACTACGTGCTGGGCAAGAACCCCCGGGGCATGAGCTACATGGTCGGCTACGGCAGCTACTTCCCCACTCACGTGCACCACCGCGGCGCCTCCATCCCGTCCGTCTACGCCATGGAGTCCGTGGTCGGGTGCATGGACGGCTTCGACAGGTTCTTCAACAGCAAGGGCGCCGACCCCAACGTCCTCCACGGTGCCGTCGTCGGCGGGCCCGACGCCAACGACGGCTTCGTCGACGACCGCTGCAACTACCAGCAGGCCGAGCCCACCCTCGCCGGGAACGCGCCCATCTGCGGCGTCTTCGCTCGCCTCGCCTCTGAGCCGGCCGACGCCTCCGGTAATCCCCAAGATCTATCATTGGACACGTTCTCGTCGCACCGATCTATCGTGTCGCCCGCTCGTCACTGAACAATGGATGCCACCGTGATTGCAGATAACAGCCCGCCGGCGCCTTCTTACTCACCGCCATCGAAGGGTAAGAACTGGAGTTCAATTGCAGCTGCAATACGCAGGTTGATTCGATCGAGCTGACGATGACATGGACTACTCTCCATTTCTCTTCATCCGCGTGCGTGCAGGGTCTCCTCTGGAGTTCGTGCACACGGTGAGCAACTCGTGGACGACGAACGGGGTGGAGCACTACCGGCACGTGGTGACGGCGAAGAACACGTGCGGGCACCCCATCACGTACCTGAAGCTGCACGTCAAGGGGCTGTCGGGCCCCATCTACGGCGTGTCAGCAACCACCGCCAAGGAGAAGGACACGTACGAGCTCCCCGCGTGGCTCACCAGCCTCGCCGCCGGCGAGCAGCTCACCATCGTGTACATCCAGGGCGGCCCCGCGGCCAAGTTCTCCGTGGTCAGCTACAGGACTGCTTGAGGCTGCAATGCTGCATGCTCGCCGGCCCGGCCGCCCGCCCGGTGGTTTTTGTTTGCATCCAATCCCCCATTTCTTTTCTTTTTTCCGGCCTGGTTCTGCTCGCTGCAAGTCTGCAATTCTTCTACTACATCTTTTCTTTTGGATTTCTCCTTTCTTTTCTTTTTTTTTTCTGTTCATGTGTGTGTCTGAATCTTTCCATGAGATTGGAGACAATTAGGTGTAACATCGTGAGGCGCATTCAGTTGTATGTATCGCAGTTTGCTTTGTTCTCTTCCCCGTGAGTGACTCAACCCACATAAATGGGATATACCGAATAACATAGTACGTAGCAATTAGCAGGATGAACCTATCTCAATTCATATGGTCCCTCAACTACACACGTCTAAAATTAAGATAGATTCGGTCCAATCCAACCCAATTGATCCCACGAAACCAACACAGTACCTACCATATGCAACTAGTCAGCATGTTCGCTTGCTCGTAAACGATCGTAAATTTCCAGCTGAGAACAGTATTTTTCTCTCACACCAAACCAGCCAACAGTAAATAATCCATGATACGATACGGCCTCCCGAACAGGCTGAGTATCAACTATGCATAATGCACGGGGTCGTGAAACAGGTTCGGATTGCTGCTGCCACTCTCCCTGCAGTGCGCGAGCGTGACCTCTGACCTGACCTGAGTGAGTGGGAGACCGAGGGCCTGTTTACTTCCAACTAAAACCCAAAAAATTTTGCACAGTATTCATCACATCGAATTTTACGGCACATGTATGGAGTACTAAATGTAGACGAAAAAAAAACTAATTACACAGTTGAGTGAGAAATCGCGAGACGAAACTTTCGAACCTAATTAGCCCATAATTAGACACTAATTACTAAATACAAATGAAAGTACTACAGTACCAAAACTAAAAATTTTTGCCAACTAAACAGGCCCCGACTATTGCATGTCGTGCCACCCAACTACACAGGCCGCTGTCTGAAATGCAGCACGCCAGTACGCCGATTGGGACTGGACCCGGCCTGCAGCGACAGAGTCACAGACGGCTCTCGGTCCGTAGACTGTAGCCAGCGCGAGCTGAAAGCCACTGATCTGATCGCCTGATGAACGGAACGCCACCTCGGCCAGTAGCTTGCACATCGCCGGCGGCTCGAACCTTCAAGGCACAGCGGAAGCAGCAACGAAGGCTTGAACAGGTGTCTCATGAGTCATGACAGACGATGACGTGACGTGGCACGAGAGTCTTGGTCATCACGCAGGCTCCGCTCGCGCACGTACAGTACGTGTTTGCAGTTTGGACCACAGCCAGCGCAATTGTGTCGTGTCTTGGTCGGTCCGTGGTCAATCCTGGCGGCCGTCGTTGTCCGGCCGCGGCGCGCGCACCCACGAGGCCGCGATCGCAGTCGCAGCGCAGGGCGTGTGAAAGCGAAACCGACGCGACGTGGGGCTTTGCTTGTTCGCTCCGGGTGTTTGGTTCCTATGACTATTAAAAATAAATTAATTATAAAATTAATTACACATATTACGACTAATTTACGAGATGAATCTATTAATTCATGCATTTGATGATCACAGCGATCGGGACCGTGACTACGCTTCAATTCACGGTTTCTACCGAGTAGGGGCCGGTTTGCTTCACGGGCGCGGCTTGTGACGTTCGATCATCATGGGGCCGCCAGCTAGACGCTCAAAATCTATGGTTTTTTTTCCTAGCGCTAGCACCAGTAGGGTCTAAGGCACGCCAATTCAGCCCCGTTTAGATCCAAAATTTTTTAGATTTTTGCCTCATCAGAAGACTTTTATTTGTATTTAGCAATTAGTGTCTAATTATGAACTAATTAGGTTCGAAAGTTTCGATCTCGCGATTTCTCACCCAATTGTGCAATTAGTTTTTTTTTCGTCTACATTTAGTACTCCATGCATGTCTTGTAAGATTCGATGTGATGAATCTGCATAAAAAAATTTGGTTTTGGGGGAAACTAAACAGGCCCTCAATCGGCAGCCCAAAAAGTCAAAATCAGCGGTTCTAGAGGCTGCATGGTCCCACGTAGATTTTTGACGTGCTCTTGGAGTGGGTATCGAGGATACTGGATTCGGTTCCTCCTCCGGTCTTCCGTGGCGGCGGTACACATGCATGCTCGTGAGGTGGAGGTCATCCTTAACTTTGGACAATCCGTACCGAAATTCTTGGCGTCCTGGGCTCCCGTCGTGTTTTCATAAAACGACTTCGCAAAAACACGGCGTTCTACGCTTTCGCTTCGGCGGCGCTTCAGACGGGTTTACCCCTAACGCTTCGCGTCCGTTCCGCTTCGCCACCGGACTTCGGCATTAATTGCTCGATGCCTTGTTTCTCTTGGTCGCCGCCGTTCTCGGCTCTCGCGTCTGAGTAAAGGCCCTTTTGACGCGCCTCCTTCCTCTCCAAACACCGCCTCCTTCACCTGCTCGCTTCCTCGCCGCCATCGTTTAGGGTTGGCCGCGCGGCGACAGTAGCGTTTAGGGTTCGCCGCCACGCTCTCACGCTTGCTTTCGAGGCCATGGAGTCCGTCAAAGCGCAGCACTCCGTCGGCGCGCTGGACTTGGAGGCCATGAAGTCCGTCGATGCGCTCGTCTCCGTCAACGCGCTGGACTCTGATGTGGCCATGGAGTCCGTCGATGTTGTGCCGGACTCCGTCGACGTCGTCGTGCCGTACTCCGTCGAGCTCGTGTCCGGACTCCGTCGGCGTCGTGCGGACTTCGTCGAGGGCGCCCCAGACGGCACGCAGGTGCGTACTGCCCATCCTCATTGCTGACACGTTGCACGCTGGCGGCGTCTTCGGAGATGCTTGCTTCCATGCTCGCCGGAACGCTCGCAGGTGTGCACGTTGTGGCCTTCTACATGAAGACTACGACATCTCAGCAAAGTGGCTCCATCTAATGGACAGGTTCGATTGCGAGTTCTACATTCCTGATGTGGCTAAACTTGAGATGGATGGTACTAGAATCATGTGCACTGATGAAGTTTTGAAGAAGGTGGATGAGCATATTAAGAAGCGACAAACAAAGAGCACTAAGGTACAGTACATGCATCTCACAATTTGGCCATTGCAAACCTAAGATACACGCATCTAATAATTTGCATAAACTAACTTGCATCTTCTAATTTGTTTCAGGAAGACTAGCAAGTGCTTCGGCTAGCAATGAAGCTTCACAAGGGATTTGCAATGACAGCCTATCTTCCCTCTCTAGTCTTTGTTTCTGTAAGTGAGGAATTTTTATATTGTTGCAACCTTTAAGCTTCATTGCTTCCTTCAAAATAGATTGTAGTGTTACAAAAATCCTGTTTGCTTTCCATGGACTGTACTCCAAGAATGCCTACAAAACATATGTCCAAGAAATTAGATCTTCTAAACAATCTTTCTTGTATTGAAACAATGGAATGGATGATCATTTACCTGTTCGACTACTGGAATTAGATCTTTCATTGTCTTAGCGTCTTTCTTGTATTGAATAGCTTGAATAGCTCGAAAAAAACCCAAATCTAGAATGTTAAAATCTGGAGAATTGGGTGGTTGACATATAAGCCGAATGTCAAACCCATCTTGCTTAGCAACCTCACAAAATTGAGGATCATCCACTTTTAAACGAGAAGGAGCATTGTCTTGTTGTATGAAAATCGGCTTGTTCACATCTTCTCTTGGCCACTTGGCTCTAATTACAGGCAACACTTTATTTATCATGAAATCTCTTATCACCTCCCTTGTGATTGATTGAATTGGCTTGATTACTTGCTCTCCGCGAAGACGATTGTGACTTCCTCTAATAGCTTGTTCAAAAGCGACTAGTGGAAAGCAACCTATTTTGCCATCAAACACACATTCTCCATTTCTAAATCTTGGCCGAGAATATACACACAAGAACATGATCCTAGGGATGTAGTTCTTGTTTTTGCAAGTGCGATGTGGTTCATCTTCCTCGGGTAGCAAGTAGTACCTCTCAGATTTTTGAGAAAGGTAGAACCATTTCTCATCAATAAACGCAAAGTCAAACAAATCCTTAAACTTTGGATCATCAACCAAACCTTGATCAATCATGTCCATGCACCACTTCAACCTAGTCTTTTTGTTAGCTTCAGTGAGGTAAGGTTTTGTGCTACTAGAGTGGCGCCTAAGTAAACCCTTTTTCAAATACCTTTGTATCCTAGATTTGCTAATACCAAGTCTACTAGACACATCTTCTATGGTCATTCTTTGCTTGAGAGGAATGTTGTGTAGTTGTTCCAAATCTAGAGGGGGTTGCTTTACGACCACATCTACCTTTCTTTAGACTAGCAACCATGACCGGAATGTTTTGAGCAAGTTGGTTTTTACCTTGCTTTCATATCTGCTTGAATTGATCGAATCGAATCTTTACTCCAAATTGACCGGCAACAATTGTTGTATCTTGCTTGCCTAGTTTCCCATTCTTGCTTGTTATCAACAATGCTTGGTACACTTGTTTTCTAACATGTTCGGGATAGTCATGCTTGGTGGTGTACTTGAGCGGGAGTCTCAACATCTTGTTCTAACATGTAAATATAGGAAAAAGAACAAGCTTATTCATAGTAAAATGTAGTTACGGCATGATCTAAATATAAGGAAAACAACAAGCTTATTCATAGTACTCACGGCATGATATAAATATAGGAATAAAACAAGCATTTTAATAGTACATAATCAAAATAATGGCCATGCTTACCAGCTAGGTTTTGTGCGTAATCAAAATCAACAGCTCCAAATTCATCTAGTGGCAAGTTCAAATCGAATCCTAAAAAAAGAAGAACATGCTCGTTTAGCGACAAGAGAAGAAGAACATGCAGCAGGAGAAAAAATGGCGTTTTACATGCACAAGACAAGAAGAGAGGTAGTACCGTTGCCATGCTCGTCATCTTCAGGCTCGTTCAAATCAAATCCAGCGTTGCCGTCGTCACCTTCATGCTCGTTGAGATCCAAGGGAAGGTTGCCGTCGTCATCATCCTCTAAACACGGACGTTTAGATCAAAGCGAAGCAAGACTTAGCCATTGCGCCGTAGATCAAAGCGAAGCAAGCAAGCAATGAAGTGAGGAGATGAGGCGTTTAAGCAAGCAAGCAAGCAAGGCGGAGGAAAGACTAAGTCTTATTACGCACCGTGGAACTCAAACGACGGAGCTGGCGAGCGCTAAAATTAGAATCCCATGGCGCTAACGCAAACAACGAAAAAATTGCGGTGCAACACGGCCGTAGCGCCAAGAAACGCGCTCAAATGAGAAAACAAACGTGCCCAGCGACTTCTGCGGCTCAGCGCGCGCCACGCGAGGCCCAACAGTGCCATGCAAAAATCCCATGCAAATGAAGCCCCCAGCAAAAACATTGTGGCCGCCAGGAATCGACCTCAGCTCGCCACTCTCACGCCTCAGTGCACTAGCCATCTGATATGGGTAACTTTCTCGTATGAGATGCACGCGTAACCATATTTAATAGGGGCAGACAGAGAAAAACACCCCTTAATTAATTATTCCTTGGTAAGCACAATTATATTCTAAATGTCAAGAATTTTGGGTACGGGAGAGTACATCCATTAGTTTACTTGTCAAACATAAATGCACGGGGTCGTGAAACAGGTTCGGATTGCTGCTGCCACTCTCCCTGCAGTGCGCGACCGTGACCTCTGACCTGACCTGAGTGAGTGGGAGACTGACTATTGCATGTCGTGCCACCCAACTACACAGGCCGCTGTCTGAAATGCAGCACGCCAGTACGGCGATTGGGACTGGACCCGGCCTGCAGCGACAGAGTCACAGACGGCTCTCGGTCCGTAGACTGTAGCCAGCGCGAGCTGAAAGCCACTGATCTGATCGCCTGATGAACGGAACGCCACCTCGGCCTGTAGCTTGCATATCGCCGGCGGCTCGAACCTTCAAGGCACAGCGGAAGCAGCAACGAAGGCTTGAACAGGTGTCTCATGAGTCATGACAGACGATGACGTGACGTGGCACGAGAGTCTTGGTCATCACGCAGGCTCCGCTCGCGCACGTACAGTACGTGTTTGCAGTTTGGACCACAGCCAGCGCAATCGTGTCGTGTCTTGGTCGGTCCGTGGTCAATCCTGGCGGCCGTCGTTGTCCCGCCGCGGCGCGCGCACCCACGAGGCCGCGATCGCAGTCGCAGCGCAGGGCGTGTGAAAGCGAAACCGACGCGACGTGGGGCTTTGCTTGTCCGCGCCGGGTGTTTGGTTCCGAGTCGGTTGGAGTATTAAAAATAAACTAATTATAAAACTAATTACCTATATTACGACTAATTTGCGAGACGAATCGCCATGCATTTGATGATCACAGCGATCGGGACCGTGACTGCGCTTCAATTCACGGTTTCTACCGAGTAGGGGCCGGTTTGCTTCACGGCGCGGCTTGTGACGTTCGATCATCGCCCAGGGCCGCCAGCTATACGCTCAAAATCGATGGTTTTTCCTAGCGCTAGCACCAGTAGGGTCTAGGCACGCCAATTCAATCGGCAGCTCAAAAAGTCAAAACCAACGGTTCTAGAGGCCGGCATGGTCCCACGCAGATCTGCCGACAGGCTCTTGGAGTCGACTGTCGAGGATACCTGGATACGGTTCCTCCTCCAGTCTTCCATCGCCGGCGGTCCACATGCATGCTCGTACGTGGAGCTCATCCTTAACTTTGGACAATTCTACTGCAATACCAGTACACGGTATCCATTAGTTTACTTGTCAAACATAAAAGCATTATTGCTATGCTATTGGACCCCAACTGAGATCACATTTATTTTCTCCATTTCATGATTCTTCTTTTGGCTCCTCTCGATCGCCTGTTTATTCAACTCTTGTTCTTATGGATGGACGAGCCCTCGGCTGCGGCAGTGACAGTGGCTATGCAGGGACGGTGTAAGCTGAGAAAAAAAATCGGTAGATGATTTATTAGCGCTAGACAATCATTCTAGCTTTTCTTACTTGAAAATCAATAAGAATAATTGCTTAATAATAAATAAAGACAGAATAGTACTTACTTCCACATTTGGTATGACTCGGAAGCGGCTTGCCGCACTCGCGTGCAAGGCGAACAAGCTTTTCAACGCTTATCTTTTGCTCGTCCGCATCGTTGATGATGCTGCAGATGCAGACCATGTCAGCTTCCCGATGTCTCATGGTGTCACGACACTTGGGGTGCGGCTCTACATAGCCCGGCCCGGGGGCGATGGTTTCCCTGCAGTTGAGGAGAAGTATGGTCTTCGCTCGGTAACAGTCTTGCTCGCCCCAGGCTTGATGATGAGCTGCGAACATGGTAAAAGCTAAGCACTAGGCCATGGCTTGGAGGATCACTTTTATACCCATCGCGCAGGTTAATTAGTATGGCGGCGGTGATGTAGGGACAAGGCGTGTTCCTATGTGCTAGCCCTGGAAACGATGTTTTTCTTTTTTGCGAATTTGCAAACGATGAATGTTGATGCTACTCATCAGAGACGTTTATTTATACAGTGGTATGCATACAACAAGTTGAGTCTCACTAGCTATAAAATTAAAGTCGAAGAATCCTCCAACTGGCAGCACCGCATCCAAAGTCCAAGGCCTGTTTAGATGCTAAAATTTTTGGCAAAATGGCACTGTAGCAGTTTTCGTTGTTATTGGACAATTAGTGTCCAATCATAGTCTAATTAGGCTTAAAAGATTCGTCTCGTGGATTTCGTCTAAACTGTGTAATTAGTTTTATTTTTTTATTTATATTTAATGCTTCATGCATGCGTCCAAAGATTCGATGTGACGGGGAATCTTGAAAAATTTTGCAAAAATTTTTGCAACTAAACTGGACCCAAGCCATAAAGCACAAAATAAATGTGTGGAAATCTTTGAGAAATTAACAATTCTACATTACAATCTGTAGCAAGGAAATAATGAATGTCAAGAAATCTTGGAACCAAGAGGTAGACAACATGGATATGGCTCATTTAACGTTGGAACCGAGAGATAGACAACATGCATGGATATGGCTCATTTAATGTTGGAACCTAGAGGTAGACAACATAGATATGGCTTATTTAACGTTGATGCCTGCGGCCAAGATAGTATGTTCAGTTACAAGGGTGTGTTTAGTTTGAGAACAAATTTGGATGGGATATGGTCATCCATAGATTTTATTTGGGATGGAGTTATCCATGCTGGATAGATGGACAAATTGTTTTTCTATTTGATTGGATGATGGATAAGAGTTGTGGTACGAGATGAGAATAGTTTACTAATTATATATATTATTTAAAAATAATAACAACTAATTAGATACTAATAAATATGCATCAACACTAATTTTATCATGACAATTACTAAATAAAAATAAAATAGGTTAGTTAGAACCACTACTACCCTAATTAGCACACAAAACATGCACTAATCAACGTATTAGCACTCATCAAAATTAATTTTATCATCATAATTACTAAGTAGTAATAAAATATACTAATAATCCTTGATTTATTTACTAACAACAAAGATTACAAAACACGAACAAGGTTGTCCAATCGATTTTTATGGTGAGCTTATCCACTATCTATAGAGAATATTCTCCTGTGAACCAAATGATCCTCATCTCTATGAACCGCCGCCATCTCCCATCCAAGATATCCACCAAACCAAACACATCCAAAATTCCAGTCATTATATTAGTTTTGACAATTGCACCATAAGGCTCCTAAACCTGGATAGTGCTGTCACTTATAAACCATAAAAACAACAATTTATTTGCTCTAGGCCCCTTGTCAACAGGTACGATCAATAAAAAACAAAAAAAACTTGTTAAGGAATCATGTTGTGCTTGTTAAGAAGAAATCACGTTACTGACCAAGTGCACCATAATTTACTTGTTAAGAAATCTTGTTTTTACCTTTGTTGGTACTCGCTACCAGCAATTTTCTTTTGTGCCACATCCACATAATTTTGTGCATGATCCATAAAATTATTGTCTACTACCCAATTATTGTCATTTTCTCTATTTTGTTTTTCAAATGATATTGCAAATAATTAGTATATACATGCATTGTATGATAAACAACCGCTATCTGAAACTGCTTAGGAAACCGACGCGATGTGGGGCTTGTCCGTGCCGAGAACTCGCCCTGCACTTCTGCCTGCTTACTGTGTTTTGTTGTTGTTCCTGGCACGCTGACACTAGGAGGCAAGATAATACAGGGGCCTGTTTAGCGTGGCTCCGACACGAGAGTGGACAGAGCCACACCTAACGAGTCCATCTAGAGAAGTGTTTGTGACGCCAAATACACTTAGCTAGAGCCGCTTTGCAGTACGGAGATGGAGTGGCAAAAAAACAGCTCTGTCCGAAGGGCTTCGGCTCCATCACCGAAGCCCATTGACGAGAGCTGCACCAAACGAAGCCTAAATTCTGTCCACGAAACACTCAAAATTGTCTGAATTGCTGCATGGCTAGGCAAATTTGTCCTGACAAATCGCCAACCCCTCGTGGCTGTGCAGAAGGAGAGTTTGCCCAAGATCGTGATTGCGCGAGCAGTTTCTACCGAGTTACTAGTATCATAGTACACCACGGAACTCCTAAAGCGACACTGAATAGGGGAGCGGTTTACTTCACGACGTGGCTTGTGACGCTGGCCAACCTAACTACCAGACTTTCAAAATCAGTAGTACTAGAGCTAGCGTGGCTAGCCACGCCAACCCAGCCACCAGACATTCAGCCCGTGTTCAGTTGAAAAAAAAGTTCTAAAAAAATGTTACAGTATCACATCAAATCTTACAATACATGCATGGAGTATTAAATGTAGATAAAAAAAAACTAATTACATAGTTTGGTGGGAAATTACAAGACGAACGTTTTAAGCATAATTAGTCCATGATTGAACACTAGTTACCAAATAAAAATGAAAGTGCTACAGTAGCCAAATTCTAACTTTTCCCTCAACTAAACAAGGCTCAAAATCGATGGTCCTAGGGATCTAAGTAGACCAGAAAAATCTGCCAAAACGGTCTAGGAATGGAGGATATGGTTCCTCCTCGTGGTCGGTCCTCATGCTCATAATTATACCTAATCTTTAATTTTTGGATAATGTACTATTATTATTTGTACACATTATTCATTACTTAAATTGCCAAAAATACAACATGCTATTGAGAACCCAACTAAGATTACATTTATTTCTCCATTTCATGAATCTTGGTTTGGTCCCTCGCCTTGTTCAACTCTTATGGGCGAGCTCTCGGCTGTGGCGACGACAGTGGCTGTGCATGGACGATCAAAGCTGAGAAAAAAGTTTGGTAGATGATTCAGCTTGAGATCATTCTTCCTTTTCTTACTTGAAAATCACTAAGACAAATTAGTGACAGAATAGTAATATGATCTTTTCCCCTTAGAAGTCAAGATACACATATCATTAGGCACTTACTTCCACATGAGCTTCCAGCCGGAATCGGCTTGCCGCACTCCCGTGCAAGGCGAACAAGCTTTTGAACGCTTATCTTTTCCTCGTCCTCAGCAGTAATTATGCTACAGATGCAGACCATGTCAATATTTCGATGTGTCACGGTTGCACGACATCGCTCGTTTGGGCCTTCATAGTCCGTACCACGAGCGAGGGTTTGATTGCAATTGCCAAGAACTACAGTTTTCTCTCGGTAACAGTCTCGCTCGCCCCAAGCTCGATGGGTTGCAAACATGGTGAAAACTAGAGAAAAGACCATGGTTTGGAGGATTAGTTTTATTATACCCATCTCGGATTAGTATGGTGGTGATATAGGAACAAAGGGTGTTCCTATATATGTGCTAGCCCTGGAAATGATGAATGTTGATGCTACTCAGAGACGTCTATTTGTAATGCAATGCAACGAGTTGAGTCTCGCTGCAAATTAAAGTGAAAGAATCCTCCAACTGACAGTACCGCATCAAAAGTCCAAGCCATAGAACACAAAATAAATGTGTAGAAATATTTAAGAAGTTAGCAATTAATTTTACATTACAATCTGAAGCAAGGAAATAATGAATTCTGAAGCAAGGAAATAATGAATGTCAAGAAATCTTGGAACCGAGAGGTAGGCAACATGGATATGGCTCATTTAACGTTGATGCCTTAGCGGCCAAAATAGTAGGTTCAGTTACAAAATTTGAGACATTATATTACTCTTGAAAATTGCACCATGAGGCTCCTAAACCTGTACGGTGCTGTCACCTAAACCATAAAAACAACAATTTACTTGTTCTAGGCCCCTATCAACGGGGTATGATCAATAAAAACTAAAAAAAAACATTGTTAAGGAATCTTGTTATACTTGTTAACAAGAAATCACATTATTATTGACCAAGTGCACCATAATTTACTTGTTAAGAAATCTTGTTTTACCTATGTTGGTACTGGCTGCCAACAATAATTTTTGGTGCCACATCCACACAGTTTTTGTGCATAATCCGTACCCTCACAAAAAAATCTATATAATTATTGTCTAGTATCCAATCTAAATTGTCAAATTTCTCTATCTTTTCCAAATGATATTGCAAATTAGATATTCGTTGTTGGTGTTCACTATGCACACATTTAACTATATAGTTTATTAGCAATTCATTATTCATTTAAATTTAAAATTTTCACTACTAAAATAATACAAAAATATACCAGCACAATAACACGAGCTGCTAATGCCGAAAAGCTAAAGGAAAGGTCATTGTGACTATGTATAAAATTATTATATAGGATAATATGTTATTTAGTGATGTCCATACTATTTGTGGGCATTGCTTGCCTCCATTGGCGTTGAAAAGGTTACACTTTGGAAACCTTGCAGTGCAGAATAAAGACGATAAGGAAATCTTTTTTTATTCTTCTAAAATTTTGTTCTTATGGCCCCAAAAGATGCTAGTATTCTCAAAGTAGCTAGTACCTCAAAGGTAGTAAAACATTTTATCTCATTTTAAACTTAGGAACTTTTCATCTTTAGAACTTAGGACATGTTTGGTAGAGCTCTTTCTGTTTCAGATTCTCTGACTAAAAATGTTTCCTCTATGATTCTTTAAGGTAAATTCTATGCATATAGTGACTCATGTGTGGAATCAGCGAAGCTACTTTTCCAGCTCCTAGCCTCCTAATTCATTTCAAAGAATTACTTTGCATAATTAGCATATAATCACTTCTTAATAGAAAAAA